ATATCAATGCCACTCGAATTGTCAAAATCTTCTTGTTGACGCCGCTGCTACATGAAATTCTGTGAATTCCTGTAATGATCTTTCGAATTTTTTCTCTGTCCACGTGGAAAAGGTAAGACGATACCATCGAGACGATTTGAGAATAGAGAAGAAATGCTGGAACGAAAATATTAACGAGTATTTCCTTGGTGACAATGCCATTAATTATTCTGATGACGTAAATACAAGACAAGAATTTTGCTAAGATTAACAGAACGACTGCGTGAAGATGAAATGTCTTTCCTTCCATTTTTAATCCCACCAGTGACATGCTGTTTAACAGAGGTTTCCAGTTATCGAAGCTATCCATCTCGATTGCTTACGTTTAAATGTCTCTATTATTTTACCTCTGTAACTAGATACACGATTTCGAGTTTTAGGTTGAAAAATTATTACGTAAGTGTTCGAGGAAATTAACAAAAAGTGGATGACGCAAAATGTGACGTAAGAAAGGACGCCATTAACTCTTCTCGGAAGTTATTAAGTCTTGTTGTGTATGGAAGAAAAGCAGCAACAGAATAAACACAAGTGAATAAAGGAACCATTGTTTTCCCTCTTTTCATAAATATTTACAGAAGTGTGAATAAGTCAAGCGTTTATTATAAAATAATTGTCCAAAAATTATTTCGATAAATTTAAATTTTTAAAAAATTTAATTGAGAATTCATTTCATGTTTCAAATAAACACGTGTATGTTTATATCATTGAAAAATGGTACAGTATATATTTACAAAAAACAGCATCAAATGCGTCTCGTTTAGCAAGCCCATTATGGGTTTGGCCAGGCCCACAATGGATTAGCCGTGTTAATGGATGGTGGCTGACATATCCCATAGTTCGTGCTATAGAAAATACCATGGATATATATAATCCTTGGAATTCATTAACACTCAGAAGCCTCACCAACTTTTATAACTGATTTTATCTTTGAAATTTTTAAAAATTTGAAACAAAATCCTACCTTTCTACAAAATTAAAACTTCTTTAGCATTTGTTATTTGTTTGCTTCACAGAATATCAATGTAAAAACCCATCGTCAACGCCATTCTTATTCCACACACAAATTTCATTTGAAAATAGTAGGCAAGGCCAACAATTTTTGCATTTTTATGCATCTACAGAGCCATTTTACCGTGAAAATGTCGAACAATTTTTTTCTTGAAATGTTCATATTTAACTTAGGCATTGGCTTTTCTCTTTTAATACTGTAATGTTTTCTTTTTCATTATATGATCTCGAGCCAAAACTTTTTTAAAATAAATTTTCAATATCGCAATTACATTCCGAATCGCTAGCCACGATATAAGGGCTAAAATTAAAAATAAAATTATAAAAACTTACTTGGTGAAATAAAATGTGTGGTGGATATACATACCTGGTACAAAACATTCTTCAATTGTATGAATATACTTTTAAAGAAAATTATAATTAAATATAACTTTGTAATGAAACGTACATGAAAATAACATAAAATATTCTTTACTCTTTAAATCTTAACCACTTAGTCAAATAGCTCCCTACGAGTGGAATCAGAGACGGTCCTGCTAGGTGTGCGGTGTGTACTGTACATGCACGCGGGCTGCCAAATCCCGAGGGTGCCGATACCCTCGGGATTTGGCAATGTCAAATGTTTCTTTTGTCGCATCACTAATATACCTCAAAAGACGCGACAGGGTTCTTGTAAATTTTAAACGTTTCTCACCATAGCTGTAAAAGTCTAAATATGTTAAACTTAATAGATTGTCCGTCTTTTGTTTTCTAACTAATTCGTTTTAGGACCAGGTGTTGTCCACGGAAATTTCCAAAATTTACAACTTTTCGGTCACTCTCGTCGAACTGGAAAAATTTCTGTCTTTATTACATCTAATACAGTATTTCGAAGAAATCAGTCCCCACTGTACTCGGCTAGAGATTGGTTCGGTTAAGCTTTTGTTTAAGTAAAATTCCGGCTCTTTCATCAGGGTTTTGTTTATGTCCCCAATTCCCTAATCGCTTAATTATTTAACTACTTCTTAAGTAGAAATAAGTCGAAACCGGTTACTTTGTACTCGAATATTTGTAGTCTCGGGAAGAGTGGAAAGACAAATTTTTATGATAAACGGATACATAAATCGTAAATTTAAGGAAAATAAATTCTAGAGCTTTTTCTCTACCTGGTGCATCTCTCTCATTCATTAAATTTAGTTGTAAATGACGCTGTCGAAGTAACGGTTAATTTTTTAACATTGTACAAGAATTGTACACGCCTTTTTCTACATCCCCTTAAAGATGGGACAAACGAAATGTAATATCACTTGTTTAACATTGAAATCCGTAAGTATGTATTAATAAGATGGGAGAGCGGAATAAAAATATCTCATATTTTAATGGATTTTTTTAAACTCCAGTCAACTATACAGAACTATCATAAAAACGTACCAGTAAATTCGTATCAGTTGGGTTAAGTTATAAATCTACTTGCAATTCGCGTAATCGGGCGAGGGCGGCCAAATATCTAACAGTCAGGCGGCTAACGGCCCAGAGCTGGTCCCGGATAGAATTGGATGCAGTTTACGCGTAGCATCCACCCGAGGTCCTAGGCTTCCTCCGGCTAAACCGGGTGAGGTTGGTGCTCTGTAAAGTGAGTGCGCGAATCTGGATTTTTGGATGCTGACAATACAGCGCTTCCACTCCACCACTAATATTCGAATATACAATAGCAATCTTATTTTTTTTCCCGTGTAGTATAGAAATTTGTAATAAGATACATATTGCGGTTATAATAAAATATTGTGCTATTATTTTCATATAAGTAAAGTTAATATGTATTTATTTTTTAGAAAATAAAAGGGAAGCGGCGCATCCACAGCTTCCAATGATGGCACGCCACTGCATGATAGTAATGTTAATGAACAGTTCAATCAGTTAATAAGATCTTAAAAAGATGTGGTTATAAATGTCAATTCAGGTTGGGAAATATATAAGGTGGAGTGAGGATGGATTCCAATTATTCACTAAAATATCTTCGACATTCCACCACTCACCCGAAAAATTTCACGATAAAATATACAAAGATAATGCTCACCCTATCTCCTCCTTCCCACAATGAAAATCCTAGAGCTGTTACTGTTGGGAAACTAATATCATGTTAGGATTAGGTTACTTCATAATAGCACATACTAATAACCTTCTCCATAAATGTATTATATCAAAACAAAAAACAACAATAGTGTATACTGACCGTACTTCAAAAATTATCCATAAATGTAATAACTGAGTAACAAACACATTAAGTGAAACTACCTGTATTATTACTGCATATTAAAATATAAAATCAAAACTTTTAAATAATTTATATAATGCTATGCAAAATTATATTAGTGTCTGTGGAAAAAAATAAAATGTTTCAAATAAAAGTTCTATTTTATAGTCAACTGAGAAATTTAAACTCTTTTAAACCGTATAAATGTTATCAAACCGTATTAGCTATAAGAGATCCCTACAAAATGGAAGTGTGATGCTATTGTTTTAAATTTGTTATTAATTAAAATAATTCCAATTACAACCAGTAGATATTCCATAAAAACTTTATTTATTTGTTAAATGAACTGACATAAAAAACATTCCATTTATGTGGAAATAAACTTTCATAAATTTCATTATGAAATTCAATTTACTGAATTCTCTGACATTTCTTCATTAAATAATGAATCTACGATTGGATAAATCTTTGCGTAAACTGTTCTTACTTCAGCAGGCATCATTTCCCACTTATTTAAGTATTGTTCTAGTGATACTAACAATAGAGTTCGACATGATACGTTCAGCGAGGCGTCGAGTATTCTTTTCCTAATGTTTATAAATAAATTATCCAGAGGCTCTTTGGCACAGAGCTCCAGGTCTCTCCCATTTTTCATCAGCTAAAAATAAAACATTTTAAAAGAATATATTCTCTATCTGAAACTATTTAATGTACAAGATCTTCCAAAAAGAATGGTACCATTTAAAATTACTGTAATTATGTTAATTATACCTGAGAAGTATGCATTGTACATTGATCAACAGAATAACTGTTTAAGTTACCTCTACCATCTGCATTCACGTCTTTTTGTTTACTGCCTCTAGGAAAATGCCATAAAAAAATGAAACTCTGCAACAGCAAAAGATTTTTCTGTGCAGTCCACAAACTCAGAATCAAGCCATCATTATAAAACAAGAATGTTTGCTTTATGTGGTGGATTACGTCTGCGAACCACGTTCGCACATCGACAACTGACTCTGACTACGCAAACTGCAGAACGCAAAATGTTTACTCTGTTGCAGAATTGCCATTTTTGTTGATGGTGCTTCCTGGATACAGCACATAAAAAGACATTTTTATGCATGGAGATGGTAGATAAAACAGTTATTCTATCCATTGGTGTACATCACACACTTTTCAGATAATAATTAACATAATTACAGTAATTTAAAATGATAGCATTCTTTCTGGAAGACCCTGTATTATATATTAAATTATTAAAATATATTAATCTAATATATTAAACTATATTTAAATTCTAAAAATAAACATAATCATAATCACCTGCTCAGTTAATACACTTATTTCACTTATATCTCCATTAATCAGCATTTGAAAATATTCAATTACTGCAAAAGCCAGGCATTCTATAGGAGAATTATTGCAGATTCTCACTTTGTTAAAAACTTCACAAAGTAAATTAACACGTCCAATAAAATTTTTTGTATTTAAAATTAGTTTCTCTCTTTCTAAAAATGAAAAAAGAAAATAAAAATTTATTTTTAAATAATGTTATTCTTTAGTATAATTATATTATACATATTGAATTCTAAAACATAGTGTACCTGTAAAGTCACTTTGCAACTTTTGAAGGAGAATCTTTCTAAATGTATTTTGATTAACTGAAAAGTCACTTAAATCCTGACAGAGTTCTGCTGCAAGTACTGCATGCCTTTTACTTTGAAGACCATATTCATAAATTTTTGATACAGAAATTTTCAGATTGTCCTCTGTTGTAGCTGTATTCTTCACTAAACTTACTATGTCCAATATTTCTTCTCTCACTGCTGATAATTGAAGTTTATAAAGGTGTTTAGTTAGATTCTCCTGTAAATAAATATAAATTTAATTAAATTTAATGTTTTACATTTAATCTTTCTTTAACAATACAACATGCCTGACGTCGTGTTCATCAAATGCTGCACCTCTCTTATCACTAGGAAACCAACCTTCTGTGGTGTGTAAATAAAACTCAACCCTGGACCAGTAAAAGGATAAATGCACCCATTTTGAACTGCATGACCATGATAGTAATTTTTGGCTTGAGGAAATGGAATGGGATCTTCATCTTTGCTTTCAGAAGAGTTGCTTGATGACGTTTTACTTACAAGTTGTTTCCAAAAGCTGTCAAACTGGCCAGTGGATTTCAAACATTCTTTCATCATTTTTCCTACTTGATAAATTGCTGCTACCCAATTTTTTTAGTTATCGATGTCCACTAACATTTTTACAACCATCAATTTGAGCATGGCACAATGTCAAGCAACATATGCTTTTAACTGAGTCATGTTAATTCAATGGGATTAAATTCACAATAATTGGGAGGCAAGCAAATAACCGTATGACCTCTGGATGCAGCCTCTTCATTGATTTATTTGCATTCCCTGAAGTTCTTATGCATTTAAACTATTTCATGAAGTTCAGCTCTGTATAGTTGATCAGGAAATGAAATTCTACGCTGGATGAAGATGTCTCCAGTTGTAATATGACTGTAATATGAAGTATTTTCCATTAAAAATGTAGGGTTTTTCTGAAATATTGTGAATCAGTTGATTCTTAATCATTTCAGAGAAACATCTGCATCCATTTCTTTGTGGTATTCTGGGTCATTGCCTTTGGAAACAAAAATAAGCTGGACATTTAAAACTATTTTCATTTCCAGCATGACGAATTATCAATCATCTGCCTTTTCTAATTAAGACTTTCAAATTAGTTTCACTGTCTTGCTAGTATTTATAATGTGATGATCATTCACCTTGGGCCCACCAGTGGCCAAGTGGTCTTTGTACCCTGAACACTGGGAGTTCAGTCGTGGGTTTGTGTCTCGCTTGGATGGGCTGGCCATGTGGAGTTTTCCGGGTTTTCTCCATGTCTGTAATGCTATAATAGGAGCCAGTTTCCCTTAAAAGACCTCCCGGAAGGCATCCCCCCTAGGCGGATTGCCCAAGTGTTGTGTTGCCATAACTTAAACATTCACCCTTGTCTAATCTAAATATATACAAGACTGGCTTTTATCCACAGTTATAAAAAATTAATTCTAGATGCAACTATCATTTCTTTCCATAAGAACCATATGTCAGTTAACTTTACAATAATGAAAGATTTTATTTCAGATTTTCATCATCTTATAAAATGCTTAAGAAATCGTTTTCTTAAAATTAGCATATTCAATACTGCAGATGGTAAAATTACTGCAGATGGTAAAATTGATTTAAAATTTATTAAAATGGCTTGGAAAGAATACCAGAAGACAATATCATTAAGAGCAATGACATAAATATTTAAAGTTCATTTCTTTCCTGATAACTTTGAAAACATATGCCTTTCAGTTATTTCACAATGAAATACTAAGAAATCTCTCACTCTGTACAAACATGCCCTTGCACAATACAGGTGATTCACACCCAATAGGCAACTTTATTGAATGCATTGGAAATTTAATTAAAACAATGACATCACATACATATAAAAATGCATTATATAATAATTCAAAAGAACTTGAATGTTTGAAAGATATTCTGGATTTTATTCAAAAATGGGAAATGCTTTGTACACCAAAAAGTCTTGGATATATGATTAAAAGTTCACCAAATGGATTAAAAATTACAGTGAAAAGTACTTTGTCTATTTTAGAATATCTATCAAGAGAATTAAGACAAATATTTGATGACAACAAGATTAAGTCAAGATAAGTTGGAAAATCTCTTTACAATCCAGGGTTGTAATGACTATCCTAATCCTAATGAATTTTTAACTATTGTGAAATGTTTGAGTTTTTACAATTTGGCTAAAACACCAAGAAATGAAAACACTTTTCCCAATATTATTAACTCTTTGTTTTGTATAAAGTTTGATAAAGGAGGATTAATCTATCCTTCAATGCCACTATTCTATCTTATATGTGATAGTGAAAATTCATTCACAGTGTGTTTTAGTTTCAATGATTTGCATGAAAAAAATATACTTGATATTTTATCTAATTTAAGAATTAAAAATATAAGATATACAGGTTGTGATATTCATAAAATTACTTTAATTGAATAAGTTGTAAGATTTTACATTATAACAAGAATGCACTTGAAACAAATACAGAAATGTCAGAAAGAAAAAATAAGACATACAAAATAAATTCATGTAAAAAGTTTGCCAGAAATAAAATGTTTTCAGGCTACTGTGTGTATCAAGTTTCTTTAATCCATTACAATTATAATAATAGTGAGTTTATATTATATAATTAGTACTGTGTTAATAAGTCAAGGAGTTAATGTTTACTTCGACAGTTTAAATATTGCTATAAACATGAAACTCTGGCACAATTTGAAGTAATTTAGAAGTTAAAAATAACTTTAATTATATTCAATATAAAATTTATTTTAATTTTATAGAAATAAGTAATGTTTTAAAATTGCTGGATTTCTGATTTCACTATAATAGCAAACATATAAATAATAATTATTCTTCTGTGACAAAAGTAGGGCTTTAGCTCTATTGCTATGAATGTAAACATCAGTAGTGACATCATCATCATCTAGTTTATAGCACTTATCTCATATCCTGTTTTTAGACACGAATGGCACATTATATATCCTAGCCACTGTAGTGAAGTTCAGAGCATAACTCCCAATAGTTCCTGGAAGTAGGCTTTAGGCTGATTTTTGGAGGTTTTTTTTTAATCTCTTTTTCAAGCACATTATGGATTTGGCCAGGCCCATAATGGAACCTGGCCGAATGGTGAGAGATAGACCACCCCCAAAAAATTCCTGGGGATTTTTCAACCTGTTCGGATTCAATCCCAGGTCCCCCCAGAGTGGTAGGCTGCCACCTTGACTGCTCGACCATCCAGCCATCTATTTTGAGGAGCTATAATTTGAGAAGGGTCACATTTAATAGTACATTTCCTCTGAATTTTTGGTACCTATGGACATGCTCTACTGCTTTACTGTTAAGGTCTTAACAGCATCATTCACATCTGCAATCTTACCCAGATAGCAACACAAGTGTGAATTAGTGATCGGATATTATCGATAGTGCTATCGATCTTTTTAAAAATATCATCGCTTCCGATAGTCCAATTTTCTATTGTACTTTTCACATTAAACTAATATTTATTTTTTATTATTGTAGTTTAAAATTAGTTTAAAAAGTTTTTAATATTGTTGCCTTTGAGTAAACGATACAATTTCTAAGTTAGACCGTTAGCCGTGTAGTTCTGTTATCTTTAATTGTAGAATGTCCGTCAGAAAAAAAATCTAATATTTGAAAGAATTTCCAAGTTGATGAGAAAGGCAAACAACTTGCAAAATGTATTTTATGTAAAAAATGTAAAAAACATCAGGACACACATCAAATTTAAGGGGTCATATAAAATGTTTACATCCTATTGTATTTAGAGAAGTTTCTATTAGCAATAATGTCGAGTCAGCTTCAACATCTAGAGCTCGAGATTTAGAAAACTCATCCTCAAAGTGGCCATTGACACAACAAGAAAAAGTAAGTCAATGTTTCTCCAAGTTTGATCAAGATGTGTTCAATATCAATAGAAAAAGAGTAACTAATATAAATAAAAAATTTGCAGTATTCATTGCATGTGATTCAAATTTGTTGTTGTGCAAAGTAACGGATTTGTGCAATTTATACACAAATCAGAGCCAAGATATAAACTACCTTCGCCAAAATATATCAACAACATACTTGTATCCAACTTACATAAAGAGTGTGAAAAAAAATTGAAAGTTATGATCGATACAGTGAAACATGTATCCATAACTACCGATATGTAGACTTCTATAAATATTCAGTCATATTTAAGTGTAACATGCCATTTTATTTTTAATAATATATTTACATCATGTGTACTCAAAATGCCGATAGTGGCTACCGCTCATACATGAGAGAATATAGCAAATTTGTTGAAAAAAGTTTTTTAAAATGCTCTCTACAAGATAAAATCGTATGCATGACTAATGATAATGCAGCCAACATGTTAGACTTGCAGAATATTAAAAATTAAGAATCTACTTTGTTTTTCCCAAGCTTTTACCTTGTTGTTCAGAATGCTCTAGTAGGAGATGAAGAACTGATTAGAATAAAGAAAAAAATGTAAAGAAATTGTAACTCACTTTAAAACCTCAACCAAAGCTGATAAACTCCAAGATATCCAAACCGAACAAGAAAAAAAAAAAACACCTAAAAAAGTAACACATGAAATACTGACTCGTTGGAGTAGTTATCTAAATATGATATGATTATTAGAATTAAAAGATTATATGGGACTCACTCTTATTTCATTACCAAAATCTTCCTTGCCACCGACATTGAAGAAATTCTAGTTGTACAAGAAAGTTGTAATTGTTCGGAACCTATTGATCAGCAACTAACAGTGCCTTGGACGATACATACATTATCATATCTTCAATCGTTCCAATTGTTCACAACTTCACGTCAAGCTAAAGACACTAAAAATTCTGTTACTAAAGAATATAGTAAAAAGTTATTGCAATCATTAAAAGGAGTAATCAAAAGATTAAATAAATGATTACGAAACAAGAACCATAAGTGACATTTCAACAATTTTAGACCCTAAATTCAAAAGCCCTGCTTTTCGACTCAAAAAGAACAACAAACTTTTTTCAAAAGCGATAACAAATCAACTTGCAAATATAATTATTCAACTTCAAGAGATGTCAAACCATCCAGACTTGAAAACGAACAAGAAATTAAAAAAAATAAGCCTAAATAATGCACCTGATCTTTCTGATTTTTTAACAAAGAGTAGACATTCACCAAATACAAATAATTCAACGGTGGATGCAATTATTGCTTTCTAGCAGTACATTGAATGACCAACACCTAACCTTCGGATTCCAATCCACTTTGATTTTGGGTCAACAAGGATAGATATCATTTCAATAACCTGAAAACAATTTATCACAAATATTGTATCTGCAGTTCCTCTGTCAGCTCCGAGAGAGCCTTCTCAATGGCCGAATACAGTGGCTGCATTCAACAGAGCAAACAGTTGTAACCAAGCAAAGGTGTTTGAATTGACAGCCATTATGTAGTTATATCTGCCAAACGATGCAACTTCACGTCAAGCAATGAGCAATATCTACGTTGGAACAAACAGCCACCACCATCAGTCAGTTTTGAATAGCAACAGTTAGCGTAAACAAAAGACGCCACCAAATGTGACATGAAAATATCAAACACATTCCAAAATGGCACTAATGTAGAGAGCATTCAGCAGAAAGATACTCAACATCTCCAGAACCGCTGAGTCTGCCGAACGCAGCCATTATCTCTGAGACTCTAAGCCGAATAAAGCCGAAAAATGCAAACTATTTAATATTTCGGTACTTGTGAATCTTTGTCCCAAATGATGGCACTTCTCTGGCGACCAACATCTCAACTAGTACCTGTATCCCCTCGAAACAAATTCGTGACTCGGCTGACTAACCTACATTAAACAGACACGTTATTGACTCAGTCTGTTTTGATATTTCAATGCTGTTAAGATTATCGCAAAGTTTTAATACAGAAAAATGGGTAAAATTTTACCTACATGCACTGTCATGTCGGCACTTCCAGTTGTGACTGTTTGTGCTACCAGCAAACTCCTCCTGGAGGGTTGCTGCTGGCAGGCCGCCGATTGTTTAACGTCACTAGTTATCAATTCACAGTAGTTCTTGAACACACGTATCAATAACTAGTGACATTAAACAATCGGCAGTCTGCCAGCGACTCCACTCCGGAAGGAGTCCGCCGGGAGAACAAACAGTTGCAACTGGAAGTACCACCATGACAGTGCACTAAGATAAAATTTACCAGAAAAAGTTAGCAAACAAATTACTTTAAATTATCGCTATTTCAAAGGGTGATTTTCAGTTAGCAAAGCACCAGTCAACTGATGTGATTTAACTCGTATTTATTGGGTTGATAATTGGTTCAGAGATGATTTTCCAAATGGATAAGTATGGAAATGGTTAGCAAGTTTCAAAATGATTACATAACTTTTTCTATTTCCAGCTTGTGTGATAAATCATATAACGAAAAAGACTGGCGTGTCTGTTTAATGTAGGTTAGTCGGCCGAGTCAATTTGTTTCGAGGGTAGTCGAGATGTTGGTTGCCAGGGCAAAGCCACCATCTGGGACAAAGATTCACAAGTACCAATACTTCTTTAAAAAAATAATTTTTTAATTGAAGTGGAGTTTGTTCGTTTGTTAAATAAATCTGATTGTTTGCTCCTGTCTTTATTTGACATCCATTTTACATTAATAGGTTAATAGTATTTTACCACGTGTGAATGGGCACGCGAATAGTTACGTAAGCAATGACGTTTCTCTTACCAACATGGCGTCGAAATGATGATACGAGGTCTTAAACTAAAGTGAATAATTGGAAAAGTGGGCGCCGTATTCGTTATTTAAACAATTCATAATGTCAATAAACTCAATTTGAATATAAATAAAGCATAATAAAGTTGTCACCTCGATAAATTTGTTCGGTTTCCTCAACGGTGTACGAAGAGATTCTTGATTGAGCCCGTGATAACCTCTTCCTCTTCCAATCCCAATTTTTGACATTATTTCCGGTTTTTAGTCGAATTAAAGTAGATTTTCTTATAAATTCACCGTTTTCTTTTCCTTCTACAAATATTTTGCTAACTGACAAGGTATTTAAACATTTAAATACGACGTGATAATTAGAGCAGACGATAATTCGAACGTTTTCCAAACATGGCGGAATTTTTTGCCAAACTTTGACGACAGGGGACGCTTCAGCGGGGGGATTTGTATATATTCAGTATATAATTTTAATTAATCGAATATTTTTTAGTAATTATTTTTAAAAATATAACTGTATTAATTTAATATTTAATTCTATATAATTACATCATTTTTATTTTTCCTTTAACTCTGTACTATTATTAATTCGGCAAGGTCCACAATGGGGATTTCTGTATTGTGAATATTTCCATACAGAGGGCACTGGTTTCGCCGCCATGGATTCGGAGGAGAATACAATATGGCGGAATATCGAGGACTGTCGAATGTGCGCAATCGAATAAAGTGTATATTATCTGAATTAATTTTGATGGGATTGGAGTCGAATTATAATTTTTCAAAAAGCCATAAAAATCATTTAGTAATACACAAAGCTATACAGTCGATCCCCCTATAAGACGGTAGATACGTTCCGTTCTTTATGAATCAATTTTGCAGGAGTCTCAGCCAATCACAGCCTGACACGTGCGAAGTTTACGGACTATGGCTGTATGAAAGGTTATCTTCCATAAAATTAATCGATTCTAGACTAATCTGACTCAACATTTTCAAAATACGTATAGTTTTTTTTGGAAATAATTTGTATAAACTACGCTATAAACAAAAAATTGTAGGATTACTTTCCGAGTGTGCACCATTCGACATCGCCGTTGCTCAAGCTTGTTTTCGTCACGGAACAGTGCAGCAAATCGCGGCCGCAATTTCTGATGTTATTTTTCTGCGAAAACTTTGTTAAACTTTGGAGACATCATTAATATACAGTCGACCCCCCTATAATTACGATTCCTATGAAACTACGAAAAAATTGCTACCGGTATCCGTAAAAAATAGTAAAAGTTCCCTATAAACACCTCAAACGTCATCGGGCAGCCGAACTACTTGACCGCCGTCCATAGCGCCATGCTACGGAGAGATTTCTATCGTCTGGACAGTATTATATAAATTATATATAAATTAGGTACTGTACATATAATTATATATTAATTATATATAAATTAGGTACTGTATATATAATTATATATTAACTTATTGTAACTTTGTTATAATTAAATATATAATTTCCGCCGTCTAGCGTGGCGCCACGCTACGGAGATTTTTACGCTAACTATCGTCTGTCAGTATGTAAATTAGGTACCGTAAGTCTAATACAGTACTGTAATTTTATACATTTCTTGTGAAAGAAACATTTCTTATTCAACGGCGATTAAAATTATTTATATTAATGATGTCTCCGAAGTTCTACGAAGTTTTCACAGAAAAATAAGTTGTTAGAAATCGGCCGCTCTTTGCTGAGCTGTTCCGCGACGAAAACAATGTTGAGCAATGGCAATGTCGAATGGTGACACTCGGTAAGTAATCCTACAATTTTTTGTTTATAGCTTAGTTTATACGGATTATTTTCAAAAAAAATATCGGTATTTTGGAAATGTTGAGTAGGATTAGTCTAGAATCTATTAATTTTATGGAAGAAAATCTTTCAAACACCCGTAGTCCGTAAACTTGACACGTGTCGGGTTGTGATTGGAAGGATTCGTAAGAAATCGGATTCCTAGAGAATGGAACGTATCTCTATCTTATAGGGGGGTCGACTGTAAATAATTTTAATCGCCGTTGAATAAGAGATGTTTCTTTCACAAGAAATGTATAAAATTATAGTACTGTATTAGACTTACGGTACCTAATTTACATACTGTACAGACGATAGCTCGCCTAAACTCTCTGTAGCGTGGCACTAGATGGCGGAAAGTATATATATAATTATAATAAAGTTACAATAAATTAATATATAATTATATGTACAGACAATACTAAACTCAATTTACCCCCCCTAAACTCTCCGTAGTGTGTCGCTGGATGGTGGAAAGTAGTTTGGCTGCCCAATGACATTTTACGTAATTATAGGAGTTTTTTTACCGTTGTTTACGATACCGCAACAATTTTTTCGCTGTCTTATAGGAATCGTAATTATAGGAACCCGTCTTATAGGGGGATCTACTGTACTTATTTTTAACTGAACAATATTTTGTAAATGAATATAGGGTGTTCGGCGTCGACACGCTTGACAACATGCGTAAAAATAAAAAATTAAGTTTACGAACATTAAAAAAGTTACACGGTGACGATAGACCCGGCAAAAAAACAGACCTCAAATCATTAAATGAATGCAGTTATACAAACAAAAGGTGGTTGCAAAGGAATACCTGCCAAGAGAAGAAACAAAAATGTTCCTATAAATATGTCCGGTGTATGTTAGGACATAAAGGCTTCATTGTACTGCATAAAATTACAAAACACTAACACACCTGTCAAAGCAGATGCTCGACTGGCCAGACAGGCTCTGAAACACGCGACTTCAAATGTCGATCAAAGAATAAAATAACTTCAATTTTAATTCCTGGAATACATTTGGGTGGTCTTCTCCCATCCTCAGTGGATTTTTTACAAATACAACTTTCTAAAACTTCAAAAACAAATTCGGCCATAACTGCAAATTTGGTTCTATACCGTAGACACAATCTTCCTCCAGCTCTTTCTATCTGCCACAATGGTTTTTTCAGTTGAATGTTCTTACCATTTAGCCCTTTTTTCTTGCCTCTTCAGCTTTTTCTTCCTGCCTCAAAATTCTTCCATTGTTTGGGTGTAAACAAATTTTGGCATCCAGTCTAGGATGCATTCTTTCAACATAACTCAACAATCTCATTTCACTGCCTTTGAAATTCCTGTTATACTGTACAGTTGTATTTCTGTAAAATGAGGTCAACAAACTAAAATGAAGTCAGTTACGGCACTTTGAAAACAGGAGTCTACAGAGAATTTTTGATCCAGTCTAGAATAACGAATGACCTAAATTTTCAAAAAATAGATACATTTATCTAAAATTTTTTACCCAAACAGTACGAAAAGTATGGCACGCTAACAAAAAAAGCAAAGTAAGACATAGGATACTGTTTAATTCAGGCTGAAAGACCTCAAATTAGGTCTCATGGACAAATTAGATTAACCTTTTTTACTCCTGTATATAATTTGTGTGTACTTAATATTCTTTTCGTACAGGGAAGCCGCATGGTATGAGCAGTAAGGTGGATTACACAATTTGCACATCAATCTTGTCTTATGGTCCATTTTATGTGAGAAATTCATAATAAATGAGTGATTATACTGTTCCTAACTAGTCTTCAAGCTTCTTGGTGTATAACTTTATTGATATGTATTTTTTCTTTTTACTATATCAGATGGAGAATAATCTTATAAAACTCACTTGTAATTCACATCCACTTTTGCCTTTAACTTGAATGCAGAAGTGCATCTTAGAAATGAACAAGATCTAATGTAGGCAGTCCTCACTCAGAATACTCATTGTTAAATTTAACTCTGCCTGTACCATTATTAATTCATTAACTCATTGTTAAATTTAAGGAAGAGAAAGGATTGAAAGTTTAAAAAAGGTATGTTTGCCACAGATTAATACAACAAGATTGTTATAACAGTGTTAGATAGATAAAATTGAGACTAGGAAAGTCAACTTTATCTATAGAGATATGGAGAGCTCAGGGGCAGGAAGCCCAAATTAACTATACATGAACTTCCAGTATGGACGAGAAGTCGTATTATTTTAATTAAAACATTTTCTCACAAACAGAGTGCGATAGATGATCGGCATGACTACATAGTTGACAGGAAAAGTATGGTCACTATTAAACTTAAGTGCATTGTAATGAGAAATTGCAACCTGGCATTGTGACAATGTCACAATTAACAATTGCTGATAAAATAATAAAATGCTATGTAGCATACAAATGACACATCATGTGTGATTTCATGTCCCTCTCACTGAAATCCTAATTTATACTGTAGCCACAAAAATCTCGGCATTTTGGAATGTTATGAGCAGAGACAGATAATGTTTTATTTGTCTCTGCAAGTGCATAGGGTCATCGAGACTCTTGTGTGCAGTTGACAGGTTAAGAAATGATATTTATAAATTTCATCAACTGTAAAATGTGCTTTATAATTATTAAGATATTTACATTTTATAAATAAATATTATATACAAAAAATATGTACAGTGTATAAGTAAATACTTAAGAATTTTTGCAAGTTCTGATGTATTTACAGAGTATCTGTTGAATTTCTAACTTGGCATCTTCCAAAGACACTGGATCTAACTTGTTTAAAGTGGCAGCAACACTCTCTGCAAAAGCACTTATGCCATTTGGATCTAGTCTGCACTTGCAGTAGGCCTGCAGGGAATCCGTGGCCGTCGACAGGAACTTCGAAGTCTGGTTTATCAGTTTCAGGCGTAACAACTGTTCCTGTTTCTTATGTATTTTCTTCTGCTGAGTGCCATTCTGTTCCTCTGTTCCTTCATCTAAGGATTCTTCTGTCTCATTATTATTATCTTGTACAGAGAGTTCATTCATCTCTATTGTAGGAAATGAACTATTTGATATTTCTGTTAGATCTACCTGAAAATATTAAAGACATAATCAAAATTAAGTTGATAATGCTTGGTTTCTTATGATAAATTTATACAAAATACTAACAAGTTTACAACAAGTAAAAAACTGTTTATGAATTTTGGCTTTAGTTAGCTAAAAAATACATAATTTATCTGAAAATAATGATGTCTTTTTCACTATCATCCTCAGAATAAGGCTGATTATGCATAATCATTATCAGTTAGTGTTTTAAATGTTAAACGTTACTTGTTCAAATCATTATTAGAGAGGTTGCGGCCGACGTTTTCAACGCGGAAACGTGTACGTCCGACGTTCAGCGTTGCTTTCCTATAAGCCTAGAAGTTTGACAATGGTGTTTGGATAATCAGTGGAATCATGGTCGACGTCCCAAACACCATTGCCAAACTTCTAGGCCTTTAGGAAAGCAGCGCTGAATGTCCGACATACACGTTTTTGCATTGAAAACGTCGGCTGCAACCTCTCTATTTACTCATACTTCAGGAGCTTAAGTTGCTAGCATCAGTTACTTTAATTATACACTAATCAAATGACTATTTAGTGTTAGTGATAATAATCATAATTAATAAATTATCTTCAAATTATTTATTTTGTAATAGTTTTAACACATCCTTTTAATGTCAGAATGAATAAACTCAGAATTTCCACTAATTGTAGTCTGTATTATCCCACTTAATGCTGTCTTTAGAGAGTAGCACCAAAGAAGTATATTCTATTGTATAATAGTCTGACTTATCCAGTGACATATTACTAAGAAGACTACAAAATAGTTTAATTTTAGTATTAATTTTACTTTATTAATATGGAATTCACTTGCTTAATTATAACAAATTAATCTGAAGTTTGCTGCTGCTTGTGTGAAATAAGTTTATGGATTCTTGGCTCTTTTTCACAAAGGAGGACAATTGTACTCATATTATTTATAGTTGATTATTTATTGTTAACAGTAATTCAGTATTTGGTTTTAAATTCAAACAAAAAAACTCCCTACGAGTGAGAGAAAGCAACCAAGCATTTTGCATTTCCTTTGTAATACTTCATGTAACCTCAAGATGATCAATGGTACACAGACCACTGGTTGGCAATCACTGTTCTAAAGTATCCATAGAGGAATTTGAAATATTAAAACTGGAAATCAACTTTAAAGATGGACAAGCAAAGTCCAATATTTAAGATGCAAATTTCCATTAAGCAGTTTAGGTATGTAAAGCTGTAATGTAGTATTAAACAAGAGTAAAAAACATCAAAGGAAGCAATGGTCTAAACATGAGCCTTTATCCTTCTAGCCTCCCCAAAATCAGCTTACAAACACTTGATAGGTGTAATGAAGGGCTCAGTGTGACTCTGATCCTGTCCCGGAAGTAGTTAGAGAAATAGAATTTATCATGTTTTACGAGCTTTTAGCGATCTCTAGTAAGGTGGAAAACAGTCGTGGCTGTCAGTCATTTTAATGTATAATTTTTGTATATATTTTATATTTTAGGCTTAGTGTTTTCTTTTTTCTTTGTCTTCACCTCTTTACAGCTGGAATTTCCATTTATTTTTTACATTTATTATTTTCTCATAAAGATAGCTTGACTAAAAGCAAACATATTTAAGAAACATATCTTAAGTTAATCAATTGGTTGGCTGGTCAAGATTTTTCCATGAAAAAAAAATACAGCAGCTGCTCTTGCATTCTCTGTTCATGCAATTTTAAACTTATGATAGTTTATTAAATATCATTATACTCTTCAACATATACATGTTCATTTAATGTAATGAATTGATATTACAGTTATTGAAATTAATGTTCTGTGTCTAAATCTTTACATAGACAAGCAAGGAGAAATTACTCCTTAATTTCTTTACTTTGATTCCTTAAATCACCATCAATTTGATAGTTTCTTCTGTTTTTTTTTTTTTTTTTAAACAGGTACCATTAGTATATAAAAGAGTATTGACATTTATTATAACTAGAGATGCTTTGAGAATATAAGTAATGTCATGTTGCAATAGGTGACAGTTGATCAAGAAAATCAATATTTTTATTTTATTTATTAAATCAATAATAGTGTGATTATGCACTACAAGATAAGACTGCTTCTAGTCCCTTAGAGGTAAAATTTGGAAGTTAATGCCCATTTTGAAAATGATATACAATACAGAAAAATGTCAAATACAAAGTTGTAGAGCATGACCAATTTAATACAAAAGGACACCCTCCATACATGAATGACATAAACAGAAGTGTGAAATGATAATGTACTGTAGTGTACATGTTAAGCGCACATGGTAAAATGTGTATTTCTCGTGTGCCCTCCTTCATTTCTAGCATGCTTATTTTTAACATATATTTCTCCTTTCCTACATCTTTGTGCTGCATTCATTAGTGGTGTGTCATATGTTGTGTTATTCACATTAAAAACTATAATGTACTTTCACTATATTACACAATTATGTCATAATAAAAGTATAATATAAACATTTGATCAGTACAAGTCTGCAACTCCGTAAAATAAAATGCAGACCTACATAGCCTGACAGAAGTGTAGGAAATTCACTTGGGGCATGCATCCAGAAAAAAATATGATCGTCACTGGTCTAAAGCACGAATGCATGAAAGATTTGTAATGAAATTTTGCATTAAGAAAAGCAATTTAAATTGGATTTATCTTATGCAGTTTCTTTAACAAATGTCTTCTTTTATAGTTAATAAGTCCCTGTCATTCTAAAAGTTTGGGTTCAAATCCATATTGAATCCTCAGATCATTTTTACATATGATTTGACCCATACAATATCTGTTCCTCACCACAGTGATTCCATTACAGGCATGAGAGATCACACAAAAGCAGCCACTCTTAGTATGCACAAAGTAGAAAAGATTATTAGAAAAAAGTAAAATATAAAGTTTAAATAAGACAAAGTCAATAGAGATCAATAGGCGTGAGTCCTGAGGAAGAGGGATCTCCCCTCTTCCTCAGGACTCACGCCAATTAGTTCCTTTTACATCTTCTCTAGGCATCCCTGGATATATGGGCCTACAGTATATCCTGGGATACCTAGCAAACACAGATATACAAATAGATATATAGTAAGAGTTTTATAATTTTAAACTTTTTAATTATTTGTATACATTTACAACTAATAAAAACTATGTGACAAATTGTCACAAACTGGAACCTTCTTACTGTAACAAACATTACAGAAGGTAGCTAAGACCAAAAACTTGTTATTTATTAACACATTATGCAACACACCCAGCAATTCACCTGGCCCACGTGTTGCACAAATGCAACACAGGCAAAACATTATAATCTGTACTGGCCCAGTATGATATTTTATACCTTTCCATTGTGGTGCTTAACGTGTTGAAGATATTTGTTGGAAAATGTAAGGAATGTGTTGTGTTGATTACTGCAATAAAAACTATAAAGAAATTTAAAGTTTTGTAGAAAAATTTATTGAAAAAAAAATATAATACCAAAGTATACCGAAGTCTTCTTAGCATATGTTTGTGATACACAAAAACACAAATACATGCGGAGTTTGCATTGTTTTGTTACAGACTCTTTCCTACATAAAACTGTTATTTTTACAACGGAGTCTTGTAAAGATTTCATCATAGAGTTGTATGTTTCTACCAAGTTCAATTCCATTTGTGTTTAATTATGTAAGTGTAAAATGAGAACGACGCATGAAGCCTTTCAATTACTTTATGTTTTGCCTCCATATTATGCTTTTTTAATTAACTTTGTCAGGATTTTTATTCCCTTCTTTAACATTATGTACTGCAACCACTCGACCCCTTAACAAAATGCCAAGTGTTCGAGTGGTTGCACTATATAGCGTTAAAAGAAAGAAACAAATAACGACATGGTTTCAAAATTACTAAGGAATTTTATTGTTGTGTAATATTTATAATGTTACTATTAGTTGATTAAGCAGACTCAATTTTCACTCATTCAGTGTGAGCTAAGATCTTTAATAGGATCTGTCAATAGAATTACCGTCCCAATCCAATATTTATGACCTTTAACGGCATAATTATAAGAACCGAAAATGCAACACTCACCTCGATTTGTGTCGATAACATATCTATTTCAGTGTCCAGATTAATATCATCTAGAAAGTCCATATTCTTCAGATGAGCCCATTTTGAAACATATACACAGGAAGAAGGGGCACCAGTTTTTTTAGATATTTGCATCTTTTTCCTTTCTCTGTTATAAGAAGTTCTGAGATTTCTAAATTTCTCTTTAGCTTCTTTAACTAATAAAAAACACATAAAACCCTTTTAATTTCTTAAAAAGTAAATTATTTTTGGATTAAATTAAATTAAACATACTCACTGGTGACTTTTCTTTGCATCATAAGAGATAATTTAGCACATATTGTTTCCATCAAAGCTTCTCTTACATATCTCTTAAAATAATCTTCATGTTTGGGCTGCCATAATTCTTCATGGTCTATTATATTTGCACAAAAATACAATATTAAAAAATTAATTTTTAAGACTTTATAGAAAATCCAAATACATAAATATACCAATTTGAAAAATATATATAATGATTGGATATAAAAACGTTCGAAAATTACCTCTATAAAAATCTAACAGAGCAGTTTCTGCTTCCAAACTCCATTTAAATGACATATTCAAAATGGCGCCTATCAACCAACAAACGTACTAATTGCGCAAGCGCACGCGATAAATTGCATAAAAATATCGCACGAAATAAATTGAACGAAATATTTTTGCGTGAAACTAAACGTTTATTATTTTTACGTATTAATATTTGAAATAATAAATTAAACATTACTAATATATAATTTATAATAATATTTGAATATATTTTAAATTAGCAGCTATAAAATGTAATTTTTTGAATATTCGATACGTCAGGTGGCGCTACAAACAGTGAAATTGAAAATTTAAGGATTGTCACGTGTGTGTTGAGTGCTGTCGTCTTCTTGAGGTTTTAATGATGATGAACTTTGTATATATTTTGATTTTTCTCTTCGTTTGCATTTTGTGTGAAGATAAGAAAGAAAAACCGAGCTGGACGAAGAAGGACGTGCGTGATTATAACGATGCTGACTTGGAGAGATTATTTGATCAATGGGAGGTGATGAATTCATGAGTTTTTCTCTAATAACTTAACTAATTTTCAATCTATTAGTTCCTTACAGGTAAAGATGTCAACTCTAAATGAGATATTTGCCACTCCCAGAATTGTAGGCCCACTTACGAGCAAAAATGTCAATGGGACCATACCTGCATACACAACCTTTACCTCTAAAGATTAGTTTTCTTCATGAACTGGTACTACTGCCTATTCTCCATGCTTCACAGGGCTTGCTGTTGCTCGTCTTGATCGACACTACACGTGTAATGTGCTTGCTTTCGCTCGAACCTGGGTGCCTGCATGGGGTGAGCCCTCGCACCCCTAAAACTATATAATGAATTGTTGAGTGGGGTACTCAGTTGCATGGGCTAAATGGTTAAATGCAAGTCCTGGCAGAGTGTGTGGAATGACTTTCTAGGATGCATGACTTTCAACGTTGTGCATCCTAGAAGTAGGCTGATTTCGGGGCACTTGTAGAGATATGGTTCTTTTTGACTTTTTTATCTTATGGGTATGGTCTATGGCTCTGGGGAGGTCCCAATGTCTCGTTCAGAGTTGTAATTGTACCCACAAGAGTAGCTTGTATGTTTGTATTGTGTTACTGTATGTATTTGTAGATTGCTATGTGTAAAATCCTATACTATACATAGATCTACGAAATTATATATACCAGTTGCACCAAAAAGATCCTGGAAATTCTGGAATTGGTTACACATAAGGAGATTTAAATGTGCCTTTCAAAGTATTGTCCTTGAGCAGTGCTTGCACAACCTCACAAAGACTTAGAAAAGCAATCTTTCTCCATTTTACATAGGGTGGCTGTTTCAGCTTGAATGTTGTTCTGCCACTACACTCCAGTTTTTTTTCTCTATTTCTAATCTCACCATGTGTGTCTTCAACATATTTTTGCCTGTGTTTTTAGCATTTCTACAACTTTTTCACACTACTGGTATATAGTTTTGTGTGGAGTTACAAAACATAAACCTATATATTATGTAACTCTTTACACTAATGATTTCTATAGAACCATGTATATACATGTATATACTTCTCACATAGTAAGCATACACAGATAACCTAATATAATCATCTATAAGCAATTTTTCAACATTAGTGTGTACATCACTATATAGGTAATTTGCAGTTTTGTATACATATAATCTAAGAACTTGTGTTTGTTTAGAGTTGTTATAAGTTCAACTTATATATTATATTCAGTGTATACATGATTTTTAACTAATGACTTGTACAAAGTTACAATACATAAGTTTACAGAACTTTATGCATATTACTTATAACGAGTTAGACTTTCTGCATCATCAAAAGAACATTTGCAGCTTATTTACTTTAAATATATTTCTTCATTTATCTTTGAAGTGTGTAATGATTAGATTATGTAACCTATCTCTGTAACCACTAAGTTTATATATGAATTGCATAACTCTTAAATTGGCAATTCTCCTTTCTGTTTTTTTGCTTTACATACAGGTATAGGACAAAATATTATTATTATTATTAATTGAAGGAGGGGAGGCCCTCCAGGTATCACTCAAAGGTACGACCTGGAGGTTGGAAAGTTCGGAAGGAAGAGTGAGGGTTATGAAGAATAGGGGATGAGGTTGGGACAGGTAAAGTTGAGAACACATAGCGCTTGCATTTATTAAACCAATAAGCAAATACAGTGGTATAACAAATGAATACATTAACAGGGAAATACTAGAAAATATATACAATTAGATGGCGCGACAACTTATAACAGACAATAAAGGAAGTACAACTAAGATTTAAAGAACCCGACAATATTATATAATTGACAATGAACATAACAGCTGATGAATGCTGACCACGTGTACGTAGTAAAAAGTAATAAACAGATTATTAATCAGGAGTTACACAAAATATTTACAAGACAGATGACAGAATGGAGCCAGTTGCTAATGCTAAAAGCTGTCCAGGGCTGAAGGATACCCATTTAGGGTAAGAAAACACGCACAGTTCGAGGCAAGCACACTGGGAAGAAAAGTTCGTTCACGTAGTTGCATGCTCGTCTTTGGTGTTAGGTAGATTCCTTGGTGGGTTGAGAGCTTCAGTGGCTGATAAGAAGTCATTGAGTCTGCTGTAGATGACCTTGTTTTCGATGAAAACATTAAGTGGGCAAGGCCAGTTAAAACCTTCATAGAGGACGCTGTCTAGAAGGTTGTTTCTTTTGTCGTCAAAGAGACTACAGTCAAACAGATAATGTTTACTGTTTTGGATTGAGTTATTGTCACAGTCACAGGTGTCCTCGTTGCGGAGGTTGAAGCGCTTTAAGTAAGCGCGAAAGTTGCCATGACCCGTAAGGAGTTGGGTCATGACAAACTTAGGTGTGAAGTGTTTCCACTCCAGTCGGCGAGCTATGTCAGGGATAAAGTCGAATGTTAATCTTCCAGTGTCACTGTTGTTCCATTCTTCTTGCCACTGATGGAGGGCGATTTGATAGCTCCAGTGCTTGATTTTGGAGAGAGGAATTTTGCTGTAGCTGGAGGGCAAGGTTGAGACTGCGGCGGACTTGGCAAGGCGGTCAGCGGCCTCATTGCCAACAACGCCAGAATGCCCACGCACCCACTTAAATTGGATATTATGTCCGTGACTGTTGTTGGAGAGAAGCTGGTGAATATGGAGGACGTTGTCACCCCGTTTCCCTTGATTGGTGATAGAGTAAATCGCAGTAATACTATCTGAGTATATTGTGATAGATTTGCTATGAGGAAACCATTCAGCAAAGACGTGGTCAATAGCCTTTGTAATGGCCAGAATTTCAGCTTGGGGAACAGAACAATGGGGACCAAGCTTAAATGCTGAACGATGAGTTTTCCCAGTTTGATGGTCATAGAGAACAAATGCCGCTCCAACTTTGTTGTCGTCTTTTGATCCGTCAGTGAAGATGGATATGTCGTTAGTTTCATTGTAAGTAGAGATGTTATTGCTGGCAGATGGATAGTCATACATTGTGTTTGAAGTGGGGTCCTTGAGTTCGATCCCGAAGGTTAAAATGTCATTTTTAAGGTCGTTGGGTAACTCCAAAAGTGTGTTATTATTCCTGATATTATCTAGTGGGTTATTGTTAAGAAACAGGTTGTTGAATTTCCAGTTCCTAGCCATCATCCTGGCCTTGATGTGAACCGGTATTAGACCGGCAATCACCAAAAGGGCAGAAGTCGGGGCTGTCCGGTAGGCCCTGCAAATCCTGAGGGCAGCTACCCTTTGGGCTTTTGATAGTTTTTTCTGGATGTACACTTTCTGGGTAGCATCAGCCCAAATGGGGGCCGCATAGAGCAGAATGGGCTCGATTGCCCCGAGATAGATGTGTTTAGCTGCCTTATAGCCTATGCCCCAGGTATTCTTAGCAATGCTAATGAGGGCATTCGATGCCTTGCTTGCCTTAGCTACTATCATATTGACATGGCTAGACCATTGAAGTTGCTGTTCGAGCTTAACCCCAAGGTATGTGCACTCCTTAACCCGGGAGACTCTTACCCCATCGATCTCTATACGAGGGCTCTTCTGAAGGAGTGTTTTTCGAAAAGATATAGGACAAAATAATAGGAACAACCCTTTCGAAATGTGTTGTACTTCGGCCGTCCAATACAGCCCCACCATGTGTCGCAACAGTCTGCCATCCAGTGGCAGTGAAAGGAAATGTATCAGTCGAGCATTTGGCAGTGTGACAGTTGAGAAAATTCTGTTCCCAGCAAAGTGCCATTATGTCCAACCTATCCGACGTGCAAAAAGGCATGATTATTGAAGCTTGCCTCGCTGGAGTGTCTGTGTCTAGAACAACCAACCTTATGGGTGTTTTAAGGTCCACTGTGTCAAAGGTTATGACATCCTACACAAAACTGGGAAAGGTATCTTCTGCGAAGCAGAACAGTGTGTGAAAGTCGAAGTTGACTGACCTGGATAGATGAGCGTTGAAGAGGATAATCGCCCAAAAACGTAAGACTACACCGCAGCAGATAACCTCTGAGATGAACACCCATCTCCAGAACCCTGTATCCACCAAAACTATTCAATGAGAACTGCGTGCTGCGAGCATTCATGGCTGAGTAGCCATCTTAAAGCCATTAGTGTTGCCACAGAATGCTACGAAGCGATGACAGTGGTGCCAAGATCACCGAAACTGGACACAACAGCAATGGGAACAGGTCATCTCGTCTGACGAATCATTGTTTACATTATTTCAGATCACCGGATGTGTGTTTGTCTGGCAAATACCAGTAGAGGCATTTCATGTTGACTGTCTGGTTCCTGTCATGAAGCATGGAGGGGGCTCTGTGATGCTGTGGGGAGCGATATCGTGGCATGGCTTGGGGCTACTTGTAGTCCTGAGGAAGAAGGTCAGAGGCAAGCATTATCACAGTATTCTTGCGTATCATTTCCACCCTATGATTCATACTCTGTTTCCTAAAGAACGTTCTCTATTCCAAGATGGCAACATCCCTTACACATGGCTCGCTGTGTCCAAACATGGTTGGATGAGCATAATGATGAAGTGGAACATCTCGTGGTGTTCTCAATCACCTGATCTCAACATCATTGAGCCTGTGTGGGGTTTTTTAGAGAACAAAGTCCGTGCTTGGTTTCCTCCTCCACACACACTACCTGAACTCGAGACCATTCTTTCACAGGTGTTCCTATTATTTTGTCCTATACCTGTATATTACTTAATGAAAATAATGGTTATTATTTAATTTCTGCGAACTTGTCTGCATGATAAGTGATTTTCATTTTATGAGAAACAAATTAAACAATTTCATAGTCATATAAACATTAACTTGCTAGTTCTTTTTAAAACTTCAATCTTTCACTCCTTCTCAACTGTTTTGAGAAGGAATCTATTTTTTAGTTTGTAGATATGACAACAATTTGGAGAGGTTCTATCTACAGTCTGCTACAATATCTATTTGCAGGAATTCTTAGCATGTTAGTTTTTCTTATGTTCAGTACATAATCTTTTAAATTTCGGTTTTGAAGACATTTTTTATGGAATAACAACACAACACACAGATTTTACTACAACAGGGAGTCTCTCGGTGCGCGTATCTCAAAATTGCCAATCTTGTAGTCGTTATTGGCATGTGATTTGTAATGTAATTAACATAAAAGTGAATTATGTGCTACTTTTGTTTTTTCTTAAAATTTTATCCATAAATTATAAGATGGTTAAGAATAAAAACAATTTGAATTAGCTGTGCATGACTGTTACTCTTTTAACAATGGAAAGCAATTCATGCATGTGTAATCTTTGTATTGTCTATTGGTAATAACGAGTAACAATTTATATTAATTTAGATATATTTCTGCATAGCATGGTTACATACAAGTACTTATGAATCACTGGATGATGAAGTGCAAGCTTAAATGCCAAGAAATGCAGTAATGATGGAAAGAAACTTTCATACAGTTTTTAATAGTCAGAATATGTAGTAAAATATAATGAACTCATCATTATCTTGTGAACTGTGGAATGCTGTTTATCTAGTCTTGATTTTAGATATTGTTTATCCAAAATATCATCATACTTGTATGAAATAAAATACTTTTCTGGGTAAAAAAGACAGTATAATTGGCCAATAACATTTTACCTAACATGCATTCATTACTACACACTCACTTTGTGAATTAAAAGTTTGTAGTACAATATACTCTGTGGGCACAATTGACTGAATGCGCAGGCGTCTCTCCCATTTGTATGTGATGTGCGTTAACACCTCCGGCATTGTGTGTGCTTTGTCATAGCCGTTGTCTCTACAATGAAATCGAAGAGATTAAGCTTGGGGATGTTGAAGTAACTTTATAAGACTCTAATAAATTTTTCCTCTGTCTTGTCAGATTATTTTACAATGTACCTGTTGCTTTATTTCCTAAAAGTTTAATTAAATCATTGTTGTTTGCAGGAAAATGACGATCCACTGGAAGAGGACGAGCTACCGGAATACAAACGTCAGCCACCCAAGATAGATCTGTCCAACATGGATCCGAACAATCCAGAATCTCTACTCAAGATGTCAAAAAAGGGACGTACGCAGATGGTGTTTGTTTCCCTTTTGGGTAGGTAGAAATAATTGACTACCAACGATTGGTTTCGTATTTGAAATAAACACCGTGAATAAGAGTTACATAACAATAAGGAAGCATCGGAATCTAACAAAACTTCAACAAAACTTGGTGAAAACACGTTACCGTTGTCATTAAGTGATTACAATATCATGGCAGAAGAACAATTTCTTACAGAATTTTTTATTACTTTGACCATCCTGTTAAAGATGCCCAGGTTTACCTAAACACCCAGTTGTGAAGTATAGAATAATAAATTAAAGAAGACAGGATTTTGGAATAAGTCAATTTTTCCTCTGTTAATTCCAGTAATGGGAAAATCTGGAGATTAATTAAATGACATTCTCCTCCTCCATTGTTGTTGCTACTGTTAGTAACTGATCTTAATATACAATTTCCACGAGTATCCTTTTTTGCCAGTCTCCTCCTGCCATCGAGCATATACTATACCTATACTCGGATGGAAATTGTTTTATGCAGATTGCTTGCTAACAGTACCGATAACAATTATTATAGAACAAGAGTGTAATTTTTGAAAAGCTGTATTTAAAGTATTGTTTAGATTTACATTATTAATTTTAAGGGTTTAGATCATATTGTATATAACATTGTGAGGGAGTGGATATAGTGGTTTTAATGGTGTCATGTGTCAGTTAAAATGCTTGTAAATTAAACCAGCTGAACACCACCTTTGACACGCCATTTAGAAAAATCCCTTGATAAAGTTTTAATTGGCATAAATTTGAGCTTTTGTAGTTGAATAATATTTTGAATACAATTCATTTGATTCCATGCAGTTTTATCTTTATAAGCAGGGATGTGGAGTCTGAGTTGTCAAAAAATCCGCCGACTCCGACTCCCTTTTACTTACCAACTTGTTATGTTTTTACTTACCAACTTTTGCAACTCAGTTTCTTACCTGTGCCGAATGCTCGCATAATACATCTGACTCGCACGAGAAATTAATTACCAATGGATTGGAAGAATTTTGTTTTAATTTCACGTTTCCATTAATATTCCAGGTAATCCAACTAAGGAAGAAACTGAAGAAATTACAAAACTTTGGCAAAGCAGTCTCATGAACAACCATATTAATTTAGAAAGGTGTGTTTAGTAGTGTCTTTCGGTCTGTAAGTGTACTCCGCAGCGTACTCAGTCAAAACTGTCGTTTTAGGTACGTGATCGGCGACGACAGGGTCATCTTTCTGTTCAAGGACGGAGCGCAGGCTTGGGATGCAAAAGACTTCCTGATAGAGCAGAAACAGTTAAAAGAAGTAACCATTGAAAACAAGCCTTACTATGGAAAATACAGTAACATGGTAAGTGTATAACATTCCTTCGTGTTGACAGAATTAGAGATAAAAGTTATTTATTTATTTCAGGGAGGTGATAATGCGAAGACCGAGTTATGAGATTATTTTCTGTTATAGATTTTTGTAAAAGAAATATAAAAAATCTTAAAAATGATGCTGCAATAATTTATTATATGATAACATATGTATATATAGATTTTGTAGACACAATTTTCTGTTTGGAAACACAAATTGCAGTTAATTTTTTCTACAAAAAATATTGTCGGCTAACAATACCGTCAACTGTCTTCTCACGTATCGTTTTTATTTTGTATATGCGATGCCGACAGATCTCGTGTAATCTCAATTTATCAAATCTGTACAAATTTATATATTAAAATAGGTGGGTGATGATTTCTGTCCCCCGCTATATTTATAAAATTCGTAGGCGTGACTCTTTGCGGTCTTATATTTGGGCTTCCTTCTGCGTGGCGGTTCTGGTTCCTACCTCGCTTCCGTACATTCTCAGGAAGTACGACTTGTTCATTTCGAGCGACACATTGTTGTTAACCCAGTTTTTGTGCCACAGATTAAATTTTCTGCTCGTCCTCTCTTTGAACTTTTTATTTATCTGAAACGGAAGCAAAGAGGACATTTTGTTATTCGATCGGATCGTACGACTCTAATAAAACAAACACGACATACCTGGCGTGCTTTTTCGAGAGAACGTCTCTTGTACAGATAGCTTTCGCTACGAACCACAAAGAGCATTTTGTAAGAATTGACGTTGAATCTACATTCTGCATTGTCCAATATATCCATGTCTTCCATCGCCTTCTGTCTCACTGTCTCCATGGGGGAGAGAGACCTGCTCCTGGCTCCCTCGGTTAATTCTGCCGTCCGGCCGGAACGTTCGGCAGACATACAAGATTCTGTTCTCTCTTCGCTACCACTCTGTATTTCGGCTAAGTGTCTCCATTTATGAATGTTCCTGAAAGGATAAATATATACAGGATCAATTTTATGTTAATTTTAAATGCACAAAGATGTTCTATAATGATTACCTGTTAAGAAAAATGTTCTCTCCCTTCTCTAGTGCGTCATTCTCTTTACTTAAAAGCTCTGGCACTTTACCCACCACGTAATCGTCCACGTAGCCAGACCACTGGTTGACTTCCAGCGGATCTTCGGAAATGTCCATTTCCATGTCTAGAAGCTCAATGGTCAGTCTGAGGTCTTTGGTGTACTGTGCATAATAATGGTTATTAATTATTTAAAATATTACTCTTTTTACCATAAAAATATCATTTAGTTAAATCTCTGTCAAATAAACCCACCAGAATAATTTTAAAGCAGTTCTCGTCATTTTGTATCTGCTCTGCCTTTTTCTGGTAGGCGATTTCTGCTGCTATCTGGCAGGCCAGCGTGGAGTAAGATCCGACGGCCTGTCCGTTCTTTACCAGAGTTTCGTATAGCTCCATGTATTTTATGCAAACTTCGTCGCTTACAATATGTTGTAACTGTTCGTATACGTATTATTATTGTAGTTATGCCCATAAAGCTAGTTATGGACGAAATGGTAACATGCAAGAACTTACCTGACGTACGAGATTCTGCACCACCTTATCCAGCGTAAAACCCACATAAGCATGAATTCCGAACATTTCTCTCAGTACGTCTTCGTACTGCGTGCTTTCTAAGTTATTGTCCAGCAGATTCTTTACCATGTCAATGAATGTCATGTAGTATTCTTCCAGACTTATCTCGCCTGAAAGAAATGCAAATTGTATAAGTTCCTCATAGAAAATGTGGTTACGGCATCAATAATAAACTTACTTTTTGGTTTAAAATGTAAAGCGATTGCCACCGATTCTTTCCTTTCTTTCTTTTCCTTGTCTTCCTCTTTGTTCATGATTGTGGATTGTCTGTACAGTTTTGTTAGTCTTTCGCACAAGATGTGGTGGAGGCGAAAAAACAGATACCAGTTGTTGTTGGCAAAGATTAAATTGTATGGATTTTTCTGAAATCAATACAAATTTCAAAGATTTTATTATTTCAAGTTGCAAATGGAGATAATTAGTTGTGTTGTTTCAAGACTTAAGCATATAAACGTGAGATTTTGATGAGTTTTGTATTATAATACCATCCTGCTATAAATCAATAATAAAGCCACTCGACCAACTCTCAAGTATTTGCATTTTAAAAGAAACGAGTAGAGTTTTCTGCATTGCCCCAACCTCTCATAGTTTGGCGCATGCTGCTAAAACTATTTCTTGAATGGATCCTTACACATGCATCTACAGATTCAAGGATTTCATTTCTAGTTTGAAGAGGGCTTAAAGGATTTGCAATTGTTAAATTCTTTTTAATTGAGAAAATAAAACTATTATCTTTCTGTCATTTTCAAATCCTACCTTTTTAACGGAATAACTTCGCTCGGCCTCGGGTTCCTTCTCCGGTTCAGCCTCCGCTTCCATGCTCTTGTCGCTCGACGTGCCACTTTCGGTCTCTGCTCCGTTGCACTTGGCCTCTTCGTTGTTTTCTTTGTCGGTATTCGTGCCGTTTGATTTTCCGTTCGTTCTCTTGTATTTGCTTTCCTCGTTATTGGAAGACGGAGAATTCAAAGAATTTTTTACGTCCGAGTTTTTGGTAGGAGTATTGCTGTTTTCGTCGTCTTCTGTAACTAGTGACGAAGGACGTAATTTTCTTATTCAATTGTATTAACGTTTTATAAGGAATTTAAAAAAGTAAAGAGGTTTTTGATTATCTAGGGATGATGATAACTAGAACTATTAAAATATGAGACTAAACTTCATTGCAGATGTAATTATAAGATATAATTATAAAAACAGAAGGAATTTCAGTTTTTATAATTATAATACTGAGTTATACAAAATTTTTTGCAGTTACAAGGCAATGCTGAGAACATTTAATGATATGAATTTAACAGTTGCTCTTAGTGCAGGTAGGTAGGTCATTTTGCATTCTGGTTTGTCTAGCAAATTTCTAACAGCAATCTAAAATTCACTGTGGGAAAATACCTGTTACGAATGCCATTTTGTAAAGTGAATGCAACAAAACAAGCAATTGTGTGAATCGTAGCAAACTGTCATTAGTCATTTCGGCCATTTATTTACCAAAAAGGAAGGATGCAATTAATTTTTTAAACTAATCATATTCTTTTTAACTGTGGTACTTGCGGTATGTTTTTTTAACTTGAGAAATATGTCAACTGATTAGCAGCAGAAGATTTCAGTGTTTGAATGCAATTCAACTAACAAAGCAAAAAGAATATTTTAAGTTAATTTTTATGTACAGTACATTATATAATAAATTTGGTCCCTTACAAGACCCCATTTAGTTCCAAATTAGTGTTCCAGGTCATACTGACTTGCAGACTGTCGCTTATTGTGTTTCGCATAGCCGACAAACATCCGCAACATTACGTCTACCTCTCGCGGAAATTTCATAAGACCTCCACAATATCATTTTTGATATTAAGTAACCAAAAATGATGTCAAAACAGAAATCCACCATCTTAAACATGTAATTGTTGTACAATGATTTTAAATTGCACACGTCCTGTATTCTAAGGCAGTTTGAAAGTGAATGCAGGTTAGCATCAAGGAGGTAAATCGCAAAGTCTGCATAACTGTAAATAATACAACGTTTATCATCATACACTGTGCACCATTTTACTATAAATACCTTTTTACCTTTTTCGGCTTCGTCGTCTGAAATGTCTTCGGGAGGAAGTCCGAAAAATTCGGGGATAAACTTCCTGATTAAGACTTTGATTTTCTGTTTGTCATCCTTATGAATGCCTGAAATAAATTTTATTCAATTGTAACAGGTAACAATTTCAGTATACTACAATCTTTCAAGAATATAAAACACTAGAAGTTAGGTCACAAAACAAATAAGCCATAGTCGGAGAGAAAAAAACTTAACGTACTGCTCTGCCGCTTGACATAATGGACGATGAGATTTGCCGCATCGTTCAACACGCTCCGCTCCTTGTACTCGAACACCATGTTGGGACCCGTGGGCATTTCGCTTCCTTCTTCGGCCTGTTCGTGTCGCTAGAAGTAAATAAAATGAACAGAGTCATCCCATAATACTTCATGGCAGTTGAACAAGAACAAAGAAAAATCAACACTTACTTCTTCAAATAAAGTTTCTATCTCGTTCAATAGACTTTTCGATCTTATAAATTTAATATCGTTCTGTTTGAATGTAATTCCTTGGTGGTCGAGCGACTTTAAGTAATATTTCTCATTCTGTTCCCTCCATATTTTATTAAAATTTTTTTGAGCTTCTCTCCATTCTTCTTCCTTTGCTTTTAACCTTTACGTTAATTAATATTAGATTTTAAAAATATTCATATTATAACGTTATATATATGATGTATTATTTCCTATTCTACTTGCTTACGTTTATTATAATTAATTATCACAATTCAATTTAATAACTTTAAAATAGACTTCAAAATTGAAAAATTCCAACACCAACCCCTACACTTCATTAAACTAAATGCCAACAAGACTTTAGACTAACATGCGATACACTTAAGGTCTATTTGTGCATATCGGTTTGGTCTTTCACCATGTTTCCCTGAATATAAGAGCATTCGCACACTTACGGTGCTGATTTTGCATTTGCTAATCTATATTAAACAGAGTACTTAAAGTTGGGAGTGTCACTGAATAGTTAGTCCATGGTTGTATCAACAGTATTCTTGTAAGAAAAAATGATCTGGCATACACAAGAGCATGCTGTTATGACATGCTTTTCTTGTAAGAGCATACCTTGCATACTGAATGTTTCAAAAATAAGAAAACAATCAATTTTCACATGTAAAAATATGCTCTTATTTGCAAGGGAATACTATAGTATCAACCTTAAGGCTATAAATCAGCTTTCAAAGTTGCATTTATAAACAAAAATAACACGTCATCCTTCATACCAAACAATTATTACTGTATATTCTTGTATAACTCTGAAATCACAGGAGTTACGTTAATCTTTGTTTATTCTCTTACAGACAAATCGTAGCACTAATTAAGGAGGAACAACTTTATAATATGGCACCATCCCCTTGACCTTCAATTACCAAAATTTATTATCATCAATGACCTATATTTAGAAATAACTCTTCCAAGTTTCAAAATTTTCAGTTTATCCAGCAGAGAGCAAGAGTTTTTAAAACAGTAAACAGTTAATTATTCGTCAAGACTTACCTTCGTAACACTAGCGGAACAGCAACTAATGGATTCTTCTTCAATCCTTCAATTATATCTGCAGATTTATCACCGTATATCCTAGAAGATTAAGTACAATTATAGACTTTGCCAAACAGTGTATTTTGAAAGACTGAGAACAGTATTGCAAGACTATTATTTCAGCAAAAACAGCTTCAGAAACTCATATACAGATCTCAAACAAGTCCTTCATATTAATTCTTACATCTATGCACCTTAAGAAAAGGCATCAATAACAGACTCAGCACATTTTGTTTTATGTAGTATATTTGAAAGAAACACTACACTACACTACACTTTCAAGCAAGCTGATAGACTATTTAGAGCATTCTATATACTAATAATCTTAGATACTGTAACTCCACTCTGACAGATGTCTTACGTTATATAAATTTGATCTCTTACCGCTAAAATCCATTATACGAGAGTCCGTAATTTCAAAGGAAAATAATCAGAATGTTTGTACAAATCATTTTGTCACACTCTTCAACACGTAGATAAATCATGTATTAAAATGAAAACATATTCGTCTGACTTACCTCCTAATTGCACGCTGATGGGTGACTGTCGACGTGCCTCCCAGAGTGTCATCCAGATGAAACTTCGATCTCTCTTCCTGGGGCAGCCGACCAATTTTCTTCAAGACACCCTCCAGTGCCCTTATTGCTGACAGATTAGTTTCCAGTACAACATCCAGCTGAAAATAAAAACAATGTCGGTAAACAATTATTTTACATCAAAACAAACTTAGAGATTATTACCTCAAATCGCTCGTCTTCGCATCGGTAAATGTATTCTTCGTACTGCGTCTTGCGGGAGCTGACAAACGTCGAGTCTTCCGACCAAGAAGGGAAAGAAACCCAAGTGTCATTTAATACCTGAAAATATTTTTTTTACTTCATTCCAGAAATAACCAACCACAATAAACTATTAATATAACAGATCTTAACTTCAAATAAGTAACTTACTTCTTTACATAAATTTGTACGACCGCTACATTTCGGCTGTACATAATTCTTTGGAAGAGCTCTGTAGCTTACGCCACACTTTTTACACGAAGAATAATCTGAAATAATTTTAAATATCAGGCTAGAATAATCTACAAAACATTCTACGTATTTAACTTGTTTAAAAAACAAAAGGCTATTAGGTCCAGGCCACTGCAAGCTCTTGACAGCCCGGAAATATTATGCCAACGAATGGTAGTAGTCATCGCATTGCCGAAAGAACAATTTAAAAGTTTTAAACTTACCAATTTCCATTGCTAAATCATTATTCACTCTCTGATATTCTTGGTTTGCCACTTTGCTCGGTATAACTTCTATGTTATTTCCCGATTCTTTGTAGCCCAACAAGTCTTTAAACCACTTAATCAATTCGGGAAACTTTCTGAAAAAGTTAACATAAAATTAAAATGATGCTCTCTGCGACTTGTACTCGATAATCATAAAACTTATTAGAAAGCACTCGATTAACTACGAGATCAAAATTACTGTACGTCTATAATAAACATGTTCAAATAGTATAATAATAGCTAACATTTGGTGACAAAGACATAGAAGTTTACTCCATTGAAGGGGGTAGCGTTTGAAGTTACAAAAAGGACCCAATAGACAGAATGCGATAGATTCTAGTGTTCCGAGGTCTGACTTACATTTACCTTATTATCAAAAGTAATGCATCTTAGCAGTGGCAGAAAATATTCGGCACATGACGTAATGTTTGTGGGATTGTTTCCATAGTAACTATGGCCATCATTCACCATCACCATTGGAAATTTGCAGATGGAAACGAGACTCAAATCAAATTAATGTACGACTTGACGGATGCATAACAGAGCCGACTAATGCTCGGCCCTCTGCGTCTAGAAAAGTTCTTATAATTTGTATTTTGCACAGACTTTGGAAAATATGGAACCAGTTCTGTTTGTGGTTCAGTAATGCCTGCTACAGGAATTTGAGTCAAAGTACAGTAGAACATCGATTATCAGGAACAATTGGGACTGGGATTATTCGGATAACTGATCATTTATGAAAAAATATGATACAAAATATATACAGTACAGTTTTGTGTTTAATATATGTCTTATATAAGATATATATTTGTAAAGTAGTACAGTTTAGGTTCGCAGAGAGGGAAAGTCCTGCAGTACAACAGCACTAGCAGAAATTTGAATTTGCCGACTGGAACACTTTTGGTTAACTGATGTTTTGGTTTATTGGGATAATCCAATGCTCTACTGTATGTACAAAAAGTTGTAGCATTTCTCTACTTTTGAACCTATCTCCAGAGTAGATGGCTAATCCAAATTCTCATTCAATTCATGATAGTAAATCTGAATATTTCTTCATTTATCTCAGATAACCAAGAGCATTTTGCATTAATATAAATAGAATTTGAATAGTTTTCTTTTTGAAAAATTAAGCAAAAAAACTACGTTTAAAGGATATTGCCTTAAATGTAAACTACTTTTCTAGAATATTGCTTTGAACTGAAATTATCATAGAAAACATTCATTTAATTAGTGTTAAAAGTACAGGGTGGGTGAAAAGTAACTAGCCATTAAAATATTAATATTATTATTATTATAAAAATTATAGTAAATTACAATAAAATCTGCGTGCATGTACAGCAATTAATGGTACTTTATAATTCCTGCATTGGTGGAATGGGCAGAGACCGAGAGGCAACATGTGCAGGGGGAAAAAGTGGCCGACTGCTTGTCTGTTTGGGAGCGAGCTCAGATTACTGCAAACTACGAGACGTGGAAATCAGCAGTTGCTGTGCAGAGATGGTGGTGTACAGCAAATGAATGCAATGCTGCAATTCACCTGGAACAATGTAATCTAGATGAAGAAATGTGGCTGTCAATCCACATTAAGATCTGAGGAAGATGTCATTTGTAAACGGCACCAATGCCTAAACTGAATTGTACAGTATGCAGCCATATTTCCATTTATTAAGGTACACTTGAAATAATTTTCATCATATTTGTCTTAGAATTATAGAAAGTATCGTGATTTCCCGATGCCTAGTTACTTTCCACCCCCCATATTAACAAACAATGGCAATTCCTTAAAAAATAAAATAAAAAAGGTTTTCAAGAGGTACTTACCCCAAAAATGGAGTAACTAAAAATATTAATTCGTGTCGTGAAACCACCTGCTGATTATACAAAACTATACACCTGAGAAAATTTTCATACACTTCCTGACTTCTGAGAGCTTTTCGCACCTGTTAAATATTTGAAAAGGAATAAATTTAAAGTTAATCATCAGTGGAAAAATACGTAACAGTCAAAGTACTACATTAAGTTGCATATATTTTACACTAATCTGATGCAAAGTCCACATATGACAGAGTCACATGTGAAAGTCCATGTACATGTAATATAGCTGGGTGTCAATTTTATAGGTTTTGTACGGAAAATTTGCAGCTTATCGTCGGTTGACTTTAGAACAATGTCACTAAAACTGAAATATACATCGCAAACTGCATAATATAAAAGTGGTACAGTAGAACCTCAAACTCTGCCTAATGTGGACCGAAGGGTGGCCGAGTTTGTGAAAATGCCAGGTTATCGGAAATGGGGTTAAAAAAGGATAAGTATGAGTGTTTCCTCAGAAAATATTGTACTGTACTTGTATGTATTGTTTGCTTGAGAATACAACAGAGAATAAACTGCCCAAATATCCTTAAACAAAGGAAAAGTACGTACTTTATGAAGGCATAAAGCCTTTGCTACATGAAAATGAAAATTAATGAATACACTGTGTACAGTAATTTACCTGATAAGACAGACCTCAGAAAAATACTTTATGAAAGCTTTTATGCTTTTGTAAAGCTGTCTATAACGAAAATTAATTAACTAAGGATTTTTCTTCCCTGCCAGGGTGTGGCCGAGTTATCCGGAGTGCCAGGTTATCGAGAGCCGAGTTTTCGAGGTTCTACTGTATAATTAATTCTCATTCAAACTTCTATTACGTGTTATAGTCTTTCCATAATATATTAAAAAATTCTTCCGTGTGATTTATAGTCTAGTGAAGTGGTATGATGCAAATAAAATTAGCAGAACTCTTGCTACTATACAGTCGGCACCCCTATAACACTGTTGATAATTCCATTTTATATGAATTCCATGTTGTATGAGTCACTTAGATTTTACAAATACATGAGCCGTTCACAGCCCGGCACACATATTTGTAAAATCTAAGTAACTCGTACCATGGAATTCATATAAAACAGAATAATCAACAGTGTTATAGGGGGGGTCGACTGTACTCTACGTTCCAGTCAAATTATAAAATGGCCATTACGAGTCAAAAAGAAAGGAATATATTCTATTGGGTAAATATTAAATGATATTTTTTCAAGTTTTAAAGGGTAAAAATCAGCCTTGACTTACATTTCAGTCCACTTTGCCTTAATTTTGACAACTTTCGGTGGTTCGTGGCACAGTTAGCTACGTAGCGGCATATAACAACAACATTTAACGACAGATGCAAGGAGTTGAAATGATTCTAAAATTTGGCACATCAATTGCTTATTGATGTTAAACACCATCCAAACTATCACCTGTTATGCTGCAACCCGTAAACTATTCACAAAAATTAAGTGTTTGGCGCACGCACAATTTTTTAATAATCATTGAATAAACCCGCACCCAAAGTGAATAAGACGTAGTGTGTACTTCGATTTTAATGTATAGTAGCTGAACATTGCAAGATTTTCCAGGATTTATACACTATTAAAGATATTTAGGAAGAAAATCTATGATTTAATAGGTTTTGTTCCAATTAATTATCATCTTTCCCTAATTCAATGTAATAGATTTGCGGAAAACAAAATTTCTTACCTTATCAAAGAAAGAGAACTCCTTCAACGTACCGTATTTCGCGGCGTCGGAAAAGGAAGAAAATCTTGGATTTCTTGTTCTTGGCTTCTAATTAAACAAGATATTAACAATGTAATGAGTTAATAATATATATACAATATATGCTTTGTATATTAATAATAAATAGGACAATGTAATGAGTTAATAATATATATACAATATATGCTTTGTATATTAATAATAAATAGGAATACATTTATACATGACATAAGAGCGTAAGCACAATCTGCCTGTTTCCATTACAGAGTATAATATTAAATATAATACAAAAAATATTGGTGAGAACTATTGTAAATTAATTACCGTACAGAGTTTTTAGTTTAGCGGAGTTGCATATAAAGAAATGCAAGTCAATAGTGAATACAGACAAATATGGAAATACTTTTATGAAGTGTATTAATGGAAACTCCTCCATCTCTATCATCACAGACAATTCTCAAACTGATACTTATACATTAACCGATTTAAAATATTCGGAAAGAAAGAAAATTAATCCGGAGTAGGACTTTAATCCAAACTACTGCTTATTGTATAGTAGCAATGTGATTATATTATGTGAGATTAGCCGGGGGTACAGAGTAGTTTATTACTCTTGTATCACTTAATCGGCTTCTAGTTGGTGAAACTAGCTCTCTAGTTGTCCAAGAGAATGGCTTTTCCCAATTTAAGGAAATTCGAGTGCGGAGGGACTTACAGTTAAATTTAGAGCGGAATTTGGTGACGGCGAATTCACCTTCTTCCTCGTCAGGACTTCCCGACACCAGTTAATCACATTTATAATACACAGATTAACAGGCGTGTGGAGGCATGGAATTGGATTCAGACAAAGATAAGACATTTCCTTACCAAATAATAAAAGATTTAATAAAATAAAAGTAAATAAAATTACATAAATCAAGATATAATTAAACGAATGAAATAATAAGCAATTGCTTAAAATATACGCTTCGAGAGAGAGAGCTCACAAATTCATTTATAAACAAACTACCTCAATTTACTTTATCTTGATCTTCTGTATTTTGTGATTATACTTCATTTCATGGAGAGGTCTTGCTGGGCACAATATTATATATTTTCTTCTATTCTCCTAAATTAACTCATTAGTATACTTGACTGGAGACGACTAAGGGCGTTGGCGTTAGGGAGACAATATGGGAACTTCTTTCCAATATGAGATTCCCCGACGTACTCCTCGAATCATGCCGATCTTTGACTATATCTCATGATTTGTGACCAATCAGCTTATTTTTCTTTACTCACGTGAATGGATGAAAAGGGGAATTATTGAGGGGTCGGCATTTCCCAGGGTGGTGAGATTTGTGATAGATAAGCGGAAAACAAAGGATGCTTCAACTTCCGTTAAAGGAAGTGGCTCTTTTATCAGTTTTCCCACGTTAGAAAAACGATATTTTCACACCAAAATGAAATAATATTTTACTTTATAATTTTAACGTTATATTTAAATTGTTAATTAGACCCAGAGGCTATTCGGATCTCACATATTACCACAATCCATCCAATCTTTGCTTCCAGCCCAATTAATTTAGAAGACAGTCATTAAGCGAGAATACAATTGCACGGCATTGAGAATTACAGTCTCGACTCCCAATCCGATTTGAGCTTTTCTTGCAGAATGTACTAAATTTATATAAACATCTAAAAACCAACAGTTATATATTAAAGCCAAAGGATTGCAGGATTATATTGGAATAGTCCCTCTTCGTGTCTATTTTTTTCTTCCAAAACCTTCTAAATTAATTATTATTATTATTAAATTTAGCAAGAATAGTGCCTAACGCCTACATGTAATGCCAAATTACTTAGCATTTAATTATTCATAGCAGTAATAATATAGCCCGATATAATCCGGCAATCGTCTGGTTTTAAAACCAGCAAAAAACTATTCAATTCTAATTGCTAAATTTAATGTAGGAAGGCAACCTAATTCTTCAAATTACATAGCATTCGTACATTATCCAGAATGTAGTCCGACAATAGGCCATTATTTGTATTTGTTTTTGGCCATAACTTTTAGCAGAAAGACAAAAAAAAAAAATCAATTCCAAGACAATGCACTATATTTTATACATATTTGTTGTCAATAGGCCACGAGACAAGTCAGTTTGAATTTGAACCCATTTTCATAACTTATCATAGTAGTACCAGAACCATTCTGCATCTCCTACCCAAGCTGCTCGATCCTATTGCAAGTCAGGAAGGCCTACAATGCGCATAACCGTGAGCGGCCATACAGCTTAATAGTGCCGATGCTTCAGGTTCACCACTTTGAAAATCTGTTAAATTATCGGCATAAAACACGTCAAGACGTTTGGGGTATTCAAAAAGTCCTGAAAAACGTAAATAAAAAGAAGAAAACTGAATTTAATGCTTTATTTTTCAACATAAAGTAATTTTTTTATACAGTGTCTCCACTCTTCTATGCTCTTCTGGTAGAAATCAAAAGATCTTTGGTAACGTTAGCCACTGCACTACAAAATGTTTCACTCCATCTATGGATGCTTATAGATGTGATTTATACATTACACATTAATAATAATAATGATGATGAATATGACAACAATGTTAGTCATTACATAAATGAGTGTCACATCTTTTAAGTCTGGCCAGTTTTTATGAACAGTTTGTTTGGTAAATAATACAGTTACAAAATGTAAATCAAATCAACAAAACCTAAATGACTTCTAGATTACATTCTAATAGTTTTTGGTATTGTTAGTCACACTCATCATTCGTACAATCTAAGCAGAGTAGCACAAACTTATGATACGTAAAAACTGATAAACTTGATTAAAATCTAATGACACTTACTTTATTTGGTATATTTGAAGACATAGAATTGGCCCTTTTGGCCGGAAGAACCGGTTTAGATATGCTATTAGACGGCGAGGGAGATTTCTTGACCTCGTATCTGTTGTTCGGCGACTGCTTTTCAGTTGTCGGCGACTGTTTACCGCTGGCGGAAGACTGTTTCCCGCTGCTCGACTGTTTTCCGTTACCAGCCACCTGTTTTTCATTCTGAGATTTGACAGAAGCCTTTTAAACAAAAGTCTTTATTAATACCTAATATTACAGAATAAAAGCTTTTACAACAATATTTAAGGATATTTGTATCAATTAACTTTAGTATATCCATGACATCACTGATACACAATCAATTATTTGAACTTGAAATAATTTATTATGTATCACGGAATCTTGTGATGCCAAGATATCAAGAAAGCCAAGTCAAAAACTGCTAATGTAGGAATAATTTAAACAACAGCTGAATGTATACTGTGTGATGTGACGAACATGAACTGAGAAGTTGTAATTGGCAATTCAATCTTTTCCAAAGTTTTACTGTTAATTATTATTCAAGAACATTGTAATGAATATAATTACAATAATTTAAAATGGTAGTATTCTTTGGAAGACACCGAACTTTGTTTCTAGATATTAACTGTTCAAAAAAAGCTCTTTGAACAGTGTTTTATCATTGTTCATTTCTTATTAAATAACCTATTTTTGCTTAGAATTATCTATTATGACAAACTGTAATACGACGTAAGACTTTCATTTATCATTGTTAATTTGAATAGAATATTATTGAGCAAAGTGATTACTTCTTTAACTCTCACAGTTACGATTTTTTATTTTGCAAAGTTGCGCAAAACAATTTCCACTCACCATTATAGTATTGCTGTTTGACTCGGGTAAAAATTGTGCAAATTCTTCGAGCAAATCCTGCTGATTCTGAAAGAGCTTCGCTACCTCGGCGTAGACTTCGGCTTCAGTGAAGACACTGACGTTCGTCTGAACGCCCTAAAGATAGAGAAATAATTAAAATATCATTATTACGATAACCAAAACTCAAATCAAATAAAATTTCACTCTAACTGAACTAAGATTTTATGCCATTCGGCACATGTGAACGACACGACGATACTTACATCCTTCAAACTTTTCTGTCCTTTCTGATAGAGATGCAGAATCTCTAAAAAACTCTTGTAAACTTCTGGTTGATCGTGATATCTGCTCTGTAAACGAAACAAAATACATTATTTTTATTTTTACACATAAAGAAGATTTGATACAACACAACAAAACTGTAATTTACAAACAAATTATAGCTTTGGTTTGTTTAAACATCTTGAGAACAAAGATAAGTGCGGACAGATTGCTTGGGTAGAATTTAGAGCAAAAGTAAGATAAAAACATTCATACAAAGCATTTTTTAGTAGGAGTAACAAAGAATTATAAAATCACATCTGTCTTGGTAAAAGAAAATGGAAGGGTGTTGCTTCCTGGAGAATATGAGACGTATTTCCTTCTTTGCAACCCATCCTCTCCAACCGCCCGCTCACATTAAGTTGATTTATTATGTATTAAATTAAATTCAATATCTGTTGCATAATTTGATGATTAACTTTAAAATTTTATAGAAAACAATCATCAATCATCGTTGCACGTTATTGTACACGCAACTGGGCATAACTTGCGGTGCCAAACATACCAGTTGGCAGTCATGGTCGTAAAGTCAATCGATTATAAGTGACGTAAGCAATAAGTCAACAACCACCCCTAACAGGTAATCTGACTAAATGAAATACTGCTAAATCCGGTAGCCTTGAGTGCCTTGCCTTAGTAGTCAAAATGATCGTGCCATAACTGCTATGCTCTAATTTTATCCACACCAAAACATCCTAGACTTTCACCAAACTGTGTTTAAGTTAGAAACCAATCAAATTTCCACACTACTATAAATCATACTACTACGGTTGACTTGCCTTAAAGCAAATACCCGAAAAAGCAAGTTGTTGCCATTTTTAAATGCCGATAAAGCGAATTTTGCTGTTGCCCTGGCAAAATGCCATTGTCACAACATTAATTTTCACCAATAAACAAAACTTTCACCACAATCCATTAAACCAAACTGAATTATCTCCTTAGAGGAATGCAAAGCGAACTTAATGTAATTAAAAAACATTACTTACTTTAATTTTATTAACATAATTTACTGCATGATTAAATTCCTCCTTCTGATTTTCTTGAGTTACTTCCTCGGTGGCGTTCGGGACGTTCGAAGATTTTTCGATTTCTTCGACTTTCACGGTTACGGGAACGTCTTTGTCCTTTTTCTCTTCTGTTTTAACCGTTACCGATTCCTAATAAATCACACAAACATTGCCAATAATGTATTTTCAAGCTGCTCTTTATCTTATATTTACAACTACGACTTACTTTATTTTCTTCTTTTGTTTTAGGGGTCGTCTTTGTGTCTTCCGGTTTATTTTCGGTGATGCTACTCGAGTGGTTTCCCTCCGCTTTGCTGTGAGGTTTTATCACAGACGACAGCCTGAATGACGAGGTACTCAAATTGGGAAAAATGACATTCACACGATCGTTAGGGTGAAGCTCTATCTTGTAACCGGGAGGCAGAAATGTATTGAATCCGACTATCAGTTCGGGATGATCCTTAAATAAATTTGATACGCGATGAATAACACCTGACGTATCAATACTAGAAGAAAAGTATAAAAATTATTATTTGAAAAGTTTTAAATCACCTAAATTACTAATTCATTCCTCTACAGTATCTAAAGCTTTCTGTTCAACTGTAGTAAAAATTTTATCTTTAACTGTGCTCGTTTAAACTAGAAAAAGTCCAATTTTCTAAATATTTAAGCTAAATAATTTCGTTCGGAAACAAAACTGTGAACATCGTATCAAAATCGAACTCCGTTTTGGCATTTTTTGAAGAGAAATTTACGCCGTTAAGCAGTTTTTTTAAAAGTATTTGCAAACATGAACTAGTAGCAAATGCAAAATAGAAGACCCCATCGTTTTATATGAATTCCATGTTGTACGAGTCACTTAGATTTTACAAATACGTGAGCCATTTACAGCCCGGGACACGTATTCGTAAAATCTAAGTGACTCGTACAACACGGAATTCATATAAAACGGAATTATCAACAGTGTTATAGGGGGGGGTCGACTGGTACACCCCGAATACAACTTTTGCATTTGCTAACAATTCAATTTAGCAACGACAGTTTAATACGCATCACTTGTAGCTGTTATCTAGATTAAAATGTATATTTTTTAAACTTAAAGCTTAATTTTACAGCATTTAATCAATTGTTTGATTTGTAATTTAGTAAATGTTAACAAAAAATACATTTTAATTCATTTATAAAGCAATTTACAAATGTAATACCTTCAAAATTTTCTATTTTCTATCACTTTTTAAAGCTTATAACCTATAGTTGTTTACTAAATTTCACGGAAAAGACACGTGTAGAACCAAACAAATAACCAAACATTAACAGATTTTTATTTTTTAGCCTTAAAATTACTAAGGTTAAGGCTTTAAGGCTAAAATAAATATACATTTACGTTGCAACAACCTAATAGCTAAGAACTGCTAGTTCAACTATTCAAACTAAGAACTCTGGAAAATTGGAGGCATGTTATTAACTTATTCCATCTGAAGTTTGAGCCAATTTTCACTTCTAAACGTATGTATAGTACGACCCAAAAGTCACTCAACCAAGATATATTTACCTTTGTTAACTGAACCATCATGTATATAATTTAATTTGCATTAAAGATTTGTTTACTGTCAATCCTTACGAGTTCTAAATCCCAATTCAATGGCACAAGGCATAAATTTTTCTCGTCATCTTTACTTCCCTTCTCTTCCTTCCAGTAGAGGAAAAGCCGAAAGAGGTCGGAGGTCCGGCTACCTTCAGCCACCACATCTTCGTATCGTAAGCAAACCGTCACGTCGACATCATTCTCTGCATTCGATTACGGATTGTGGCACGGTTTGGCTTTTGACATTATGCCAATTTCCATCTCAATTTTTACATAACCGTAAATAGTTGCATAATAAAATAACAGGAAATCTGGTGATGTTCGGTCATTTGTTTGGTTTAATTTTTCCAGACTGATTCGATTTGTATAGCCCATGTATTTACATGTTGTAGCATACTGTTCATTCGAAGATTTTTCAATCGATTCTGCTCTCCGAACATGAAAGTTCATACTAGCTTAAGCATTTTCACGGTAAAGGAGGAATATAACAGCATACACATGCTTACAATACAGTTAAGGTTGTTAGAGACAGAGTAAGAAGCAGAACATCCTATTGTCAAGTTATTCTACTTGTCAGTTGGTTATATAAGTGTAATAAGCATATATAGTTTATGTAACCAAATTTCAAGCAAATCAAAAAGTGTATTGTAATAGACATAAAATGCAAGACAAATACATAGATTTATTTAACAGGAACCATATGATCTTAATAGAACTATTTGAACAACATAAGTTATTTTTTGTTCATCATATGCTTTGCAGATATATATAACATACCAGTATACATATTGTATTCAGAAGATGACACGGCCAAGAACTGGCACTCTGTGAAGAAGTCCGTATCTTGCAGAGTAATGCCACAGTATTATCAAGATTTATAGGTTGCGCGCAGAGTGGCAAATTTGTTAGTACGACAGTTGGCCCTCCCATTTCTTGCTCATCTGTTCGTTAAACTGAATGCAAAAAGAACACTTAACCTTCTGTTAGTCGCATGGGTCTGACAGACCCGACGCGATTTTCAGTCAAAATTTTTTACTATTAAATATTTTTTGAAAAATTTGAAAAAATTAATATTCCTCAAACTTTTTAATTAGATTAACATGCTGTTAAAATTTTTTGCATAGCAACGNAAATTCATTTTGTCAATACGCAAGTAATTTATATCACTAGATAGAAAACAAAGCGCAGAATCCAACTAAGAAACTGTAGTTTCTTTACGCGATAGATAAAATTGAATTATTTCATATTAAAAACACTGGGTCTGTAAGACCCATGCGACTCAAGTAAGGGCCCCATTCCTAGCGACTTACGGAGGGTTAAGCTAGTGAGAGCTTTGACATTTATACCCCTAACTTATTTTAACAAAAGACTAAAGATATTAAATAAACATTTGTATGTAAATACTACTGGAAGTGTATGATTTACCTTTGAAAAATTTAATTTACAAAACATTTTTTAAGTACCTTTGTGTTTTAAATTCTTTCATAACATCTAAAAACTCATTATAAATATGTGGTTGAGTACCAAAAGACAACTTCACTTGATCTAAATATGTCAGAGCATCTTCCACTTTCAGGCGCTGAATGTGTGACGAGTCTTGGACCTGTGACATATGCATCTACATAAACAATGTTAACAGCATTAATAACGATAACTTAAGGTCAAAATACTTTTATAACATATGCTTTTATGCAATTATTTTTGTTAAAATATTGCAAACGCATTACTTCCGTAATGCAGATTTATGCTAAAATTAGAGTGAACCGGTTAATGAATATTAGAATACCTGATTATGTGCTTGCAGCTGATGGATCAAGTGTTGCTGTTGCACCTGTTCTTGAATGCAGCTGGCACGTGCCGTGGCACACTGCAGATTCGACGAATCATTATACTGATTTATATTAACCGAATCAATTTTATTCCTGAAAACATAAAAAAAAATTAATTAACTTCCTGTGTAAGCCTTACATTAAGTATTACTAACAACAAATATTTGATTTTTAATATGCCACGAGTGTTGTTTAACGAAAAAACTATTTCAAATATAAGTTCGTTGCCATATAACCTAGCCTACAATATTATACTGGTCACTAGGTTATACAACAATGATAAAAAATAGAAGATCAGAATAACACAGAGTTTGGCAATGTTGCAAATCAAATCTAATAATGCCACGAGCCAGTTAGTCGTGCTTGTTGCACTGCTAGATCACAGTAAGCAACACAACAATTACTATTATCTTGAATAATATAGGAGAAGAATCAGATGCACATCACCAACAATTCCTTCCATGTTTGTTCCATTATACATGGCTTTATCTCTACAAATTCATACATTTACGAAGTTCTTAAAGATTACGTAGTATTCTTGTTACAACACATGTGCTACACAAATGATGACAAACTGACCTTTTGTATGTTTCAGCAAGAAAAGAAGAAAATCTTCTATAGAAGCACGATGCTGGCTCCAGAAGGTGGCCGAAAAGATTTGTACTTTCATTTACAATGCAGTCGCTGCCAGAAATGTATGAAAGGTCACTTTGTCGTCACTAAATTCTTGAACTAGAATTTAACCTCTTGTAGTCGGTACTTGGATAGTGTCGACTTGTCACTCCGAGATTGTGGGTTTGAGCATGAATTGCATTCACAATCATTTTCACAGCTAGTTTGATCCAGACATTTTGCGATTCTGTCCATTGATATCCAGTCTCCTCACTCTTAATATTCACAAGAAAAATTTAAGTATAAAGAGATTTCTAGTTAAGAAGTTTATATCCCACTTAAAACAAAATATAACTTACAGTAAGATATTATATTTGTTTATGCAATTGCATGCAATTGACTTAAATCAAAGCAAGCAAAACTGTGTCGACTGGCAACTAGAAAAGGCACCATATTACAAATGTATGACTACTGTAAAAAATGTATTCATATTTCATCGTAATTAGTGATGGGACAATTAGAATCAGAATTGAGCAAAATCTCTTCACAGTTTCCAATTCTTAAGACGATTGTTCCATGTTTAATAAGAAAATTAAATTTGTTTCAGTTAAAAATTAAAATTGTTTTAAATCATTATATTAACAATTAAGTGTTAGTTTATTGGAAACTTCATCTTGACAAAGCTGAGAGTACACAACATCCCATACACTAGGCGATGTCTATTATCGTGGACTTTTCTTTCATGTACTCAGTGGCGAGAGATTGCATTCAGTTGGTACTAACTGTATGCTCATTTCAGAGGAAATAGGGTGACATTTGCATTGTCACCCATGCAGCAATGGGCCAGCTTGACCAGCAGTTGGCAAAACAGTTTAAAATATAGACAAAATTATTTTTAATATTTAGTATGTTTACTTATAATGATAAAATGCTTGAACAACACTTTAAATACTTTTTCAGCAACATTTTAATTTATTTAAACAAAAGATTTTGACCCTTTTCACAGATCCGCATCAGGTTTAATAAGATTCAAACTGTTTTCTTGAAGAATTAAACAAACACAACACTCATACATTAAATGTTTAGCTGGAGGAAAAAGAGGGGGAGGATAAGAGAAAAAAACAAGGAGGGAGAGCAGATCGAAAGAAGATAAAGGAAGGCTCTCACTGAGCAGCATACATAAGGGTATTAATACAGAATGTAAGCTATTAATTGCTATAAGAAGCAGAATAACGTAAATGAAACAATGAAAAAAAGCAAAAAAACTTAAATTTAACTTATTTCTAAATACTAGTTATAATAATTTATTATTAAACAAGAATGCTGACAAGGACAACAACTCAGATGGATAAGAGCACGCAATGACAAAAGCCAACAAAAAGAAACAGTGGAATTAAGACTAAACAGAATCTGACGAACAATAAAGAAACTAGGGACACAACACTAAAAAACTACAAAAAGTATTGTCGTCTTAAACTGTTCAAACCTTCTGGACATAGAGTGTTATCTGCAGTTGTGCATTTAAGCATTCTACAGCTGCACCTAGCATAATATTTGTCGAGAATTCGGATATTTTGTTGCCACTTGGTAATCTGGTGGAAGGTCCCCTTCTAATGAAAGTCAGCAGTCTGAAAGGATATACATATATATATATATATATATACCCAGTGCAGGTCCGGTCTCATAATCCCATCCTCAAGTGTCGCATATAAGAGTTTTCTATGGGAAGATGGGGCAAAGGGTGAGGGAAAAGGCAATTTCTCAATCCCTATCATGTACAACTCTTCTGACAGGTCTGTACCGCAATTGCCATTCCATCGGAAGTGGCCACTCGCACATTATTTTCAATTGGCAAATGTCAGTGGGTCGGTTCTTTGCCTGCTTCTGGCAAGTCAGATGTAATTGCCAGTATTATTCAGCTTTGGTTGGAGACTGTTAAACCTCCAAAGCTGGATACCTTTCAGCTTCAGTCAATCTCTAAACTTTGAATGTATAACATACAACTCAGTCTGAGAACATTATTGCATCGGGCTTTGCATCCCAATGCACTTTTTGAAAAGGGAAAATCCCTCAGACCAGACCAATAGCAACTGGGCCCTCGTATGCTTTTGCACCTCCTGAAATAATGCAAACTGAGAATTGATAGGTACACCAGCTAATGCATATAATATCCTAGTAATATATTTGACAGGAGGACTCTAAATAAAAAAAAACAACTTAAACATAGAATTACTTACATTTTTCTTCTCGCAGGATCATTTCAATAAATTTTTTCCACTTTTATAAATAAATTGCTCTTCTTATGAAGATTTTTTCACATATCGGAGATATTTAAATAAAACTGGAATGAAAAATAAATATCATAAAATTATATAACAAAATAAAAAGTATATTAAAGTAACAATTATTCAAATATAAACATCTTTACTAAAACCTTATAATTATGAAATTTTATACGAGATGGCGCCTAATGCCTCCGTCTACAGCCAAATTCATTTCTCTATTATAAAATCTATAATAAAAATAAAGTTCAAAATAGATAATTGAGTATAGTCACTTGTTAAATACTTAGTCTCCAAGTTAATATCACGATACGAGGTGTATCATAGTATTAAACATGATACTGAGACCAGATTCTAAATGTGTGTGGCACTTTAAACATATCAGAAAATGTCAACCAGGAGCCATGCATTACTCAAATCAGGCTCTATGGCGGTGATATTCCGACTGGCACCGGTGCGCAAATGATTTATTATTGGGCCACAATAAGATTCCACACAAAATTCCATAATACACAGTCAAATTTTGCTACAACAATTATCATTATAACAAAATTTATTGCAATATGCATAAACTTAATGTAACACTTGAATGATATCTTCTACTACTGTTGTTAGTGATACTTTTTTTACTGTACTTGTAAAATACATATTTTCCCTTCTCCACAATGATACAGCACAATAATCTCATCTCATAGTGCCATATCAAATTTTCCTGACCTCAGCCACACCCGGTACAGATTAGTAATTAGTTAATAATACACCAAGGTGTTACTAGGGAAGGTTACTATCCAGAGTGGTTTCCCGTTGCCTTCTCTGGGGCGCGATGTTACACGAAGGGAACAAATGCCTTCCGGGAGGACTTTTATGGAGAACTGGTCTCCTATTTAGTCGTTATTGGCAAGGAGAAAACCCGTAAAACTCCAAGCAGCCAGCCTGTCTGATCGCGGCGCGAACCCACGACCAAACTCCCAGTGTTTAGGGTACGAAGACCACTCGGCCACTGGTGGGCCTAGCACAATAATACTGAATTTTAATTAATCGCTCGGTACTCTCTTAACATAGTGATCCTACTGCAAATATTATCTGCAGTAAGTAGACATCTTGCAGCACGAAGTCACATTATTCCAATTTAAAAAATTCCCCCCAAAAGATGTTACGATAGATGACCAGCAGGACTCTATGGTTAAAGAAAAAGTATGAGATACAGGGACAAGCCACTACTAATTTTGGAAGGCATATATATTTTAAATTAAATAAATTAAAAATTGCAGCCCGGCATTCTGACGATGTCACAATAAATAATTGCTCGTTACTTTTATAATCAGTGTCATTTGCAACACTAAGACATTCCTACACATAATTTCTGGGGAAACTTTATGTTAAATGAGTTTAATGTAATGAAGTACTCTTAGAATGTGTATAGAGATGTCTTAGTTTTGAGAATTATACTTATTTAGTGACCAAAGTATTGCTCGCTAGCTGCGTGTAGTTCTTCTAGATCCTTACTGCAGCTCCTATATAGTTATGCAATTCTTTTCTATAAACACAGTATGTACTACTTATATATAATACTGTAAGTTTTCTATTATGTAGTGTAATATACACAGGGATTGTAAGCATAACTCAATTTAACCTTGAATAGGCAACCAAAAGCTCAGAGTATGTTCATAAAGTACCAGAGTAAAGGAAAATAAAATAACAGTGATATTTACTACAGAACTATGATAAACATCTACAAAACCAATTTTAGATTAAAGCCAAATGATTGCAGAATTATGCTGGGCTACATTAATGCTACTACTAATTACTAATTAAATGTCAAGTAATTTGGTCTAGAGGCAGGTGTTAGATGCCACCTCTTGATAAATTTAATAAATAATTTAGAAGGTTCTCGATGAGAAGAATTGTCCCGAAACAAGACTTGAACCCACAACTCCTGGTTGCTATTGTGTTATCTGCTATTAATTTAATTCATATAGCTGATACTCTGCACAAACTAGCATGAAGTCATTCTCACTATGTGGCACAACTGTCTGGTCAAGATTTGCAAAATGTATTGTACTCGTCTTGGTACTTGTGTAGTTGAGTTACACGAGTACAAGGTGAACGTGTCAAGAATATCGTGTGGTATCATCTCGTTTTGCAAGACAATTTGCAGAATCACTTCATGATACTCCCGACACTACTCAAGATTGGACTGGACATCCTGAATGGATTAGGAATGTGACAATGGTATATTTTGAAAATACTTTTCACGTAAAATTGCCTCTAAGACACACTAAACAGCTTTGTTTCCAAAATAAAAATATCAGATAAATCTGTATAAAATTTTTAAAAAGTATTACAGGCCATCTGAAGAGTTTTGTTTTCATGATGATAGCAATGATACATTATATTTTCCAGACATCACTCTGAGGATTGTAAACTAATGTATTACAATTATAACATCCAAGAAAACTTGTTTAATGCACTCAAGCAACAAAATTACAATGACAATGAGCTTCTAGAACAGACGCAATCGATCTCTAAGAAGTATCAAGGTCAAGACACTACTGGTTCCACCAGTTGGTTTGCGACCTTGACACTGATTGCAACGTTAATTCTGCTGCCGACATGCATCGGCTTTTAGAGACTTTAGCTCTACCACTTCTGTTCTTTTTCTGCCAAACCATTTGTGACAAAAATTTCTATAGCCTACAAAATGTTTTCCATTTACAGGTTATATGAAATAAGACACTATAGCCCTGCAAACAATACACTAAACCATCTTCATACAACTGTAAAATAGTAGAGCAGGGAGGGACACCCAGTATAGAAGTATTGTTTGAAACCAATTAACAAGTTGAATGGAGCAACCACAATCCATAGTACCCACTGCAGGTTTCAATGTCTCACCTCCACAGCTCTCCAAATTTCCAATCTATTCAGAACCCACAACCTACACGTTTCATACAAAAACCTCTGCTCTTGCTTGCCTAGTTTTTGTGGTAACGAGAACCATTTTACTATAACAGACAGAAAGCAGAGACTATCTGAGGAGAATATAACTGTCTAATATACGAGGATGGAATAGCCACTGTGATATTCAGTTGAATTAATAAATGCACTTTTAATAGAAAAGTTTAAAGAATGCTAACAATTTCGACCCAGTTAACAGGTCATCTTCAAATGGATAGTTGAGGGATTCCATTTTCAATTGTCCACATCTGAAGATGACCCATTAACTGGATCAAAAACAGCATTCTTTAAACTTCACCCACTGTTAAAGGTTCATTGATTAATTCAGTTGTATATACCGACACTTCTAAACTAAATAAATTTGCTTTCTCACAGAATTATCTAAGAATTTGTGAACTTGACATCGAAATAGAGCCATTCTTTATGGCAACACAATTAAATTTGTCACGATTATTCTTGTGTGACAGCAAATTCAGAAAAAAAATAACAACGATTATATTATTGTTGATACTTTTGATATAAATCTCTGAAAACAAATAGCTATGACTGAATATAAATGAGAAGGATGAGGAAAACAGAAGCAATAACAACTAATGCTTTGATATTTACTGACGAGTTCGTCAGTAAATATCAAAGCACATTTTATTACATCGCATCACATCCACCCATAACATCAGATCACTGAATATTGTGTGAATTTGTAGACAAAACTGAGAATCCAGAAAAGTGTTTAATCTGAATAAATATCCTGACTTCTTTAGTGTTTCTTTTTTTACATTTCGGCAAGTTATAAGGAGATTAAAACCGAAGTAATGGTTTAAGGACACACACTTAAAAGCAATATTGTAAGTGTTATACTCTTTTTGTTCTGATAAAATTTCAATAAAGTATCAATACAGTAGACCCGCGGTAATCCAACAAACATTTTGCAAGGCGGTGTCGGATGATCGAATTTGTCGGACTATAGAGTACTGCCATCGACCACTTGTAGTCCAAAACTTTTTTGCAAAGGAGTACCCTGTAATCTGACAAATTACATACTTGTATTTCCAAGGTACATACTATGTATGATCTTAATTTGAAAATGGATAAACAAATAACTTTATGATGCATGCAAATATTCATCAATTTTCTTTTGTTTTACATTGGCTAAATGCAAGAGTAAGGTCTTGTCTCTCAGTCTCCTCAGAAGTAAAAGTTTGTTGTACAATGCACCATTCTCTTCAGCCCATTGCATACCAGCTGCATATAGGCGTGTCGGATTATAGGGGGTTCTGGATTAGACAGGGGCCGGATTACCGCGGGTCTACTGTAATCGTAAGTTTTAGATAAGGCTTGATTCATAACAAGATTGACACTAGTAAACAAACTGGTACAGAAAGAAATGACAATTCTTATACAGTAAGACCCTGCTTAATGCAGGGGATGCATTCCTAGACGACAAAGTGCTAAACGAAACAGCGTTAAACAAGGTAATTTTAACAGTGTAAATAGAGATAGGGGAGCTGGCAACCAGAAATCAACGAATCTTTTCTTTAATTTTAAGTTATTTTTATAGAAATTTGTATAATATTACAGGTATACCTCGCCTTACGTCGGTAATTGGTTCCAGGAGAACGACATAAGTCGAATTTACTTGTCTCCGAATCTACTTATTACTAGGCTAAACCACAAATTACCATTCCCGGTTCTGTATTTTATTTATTAATGCATTTTTATTAATATATGGTTAATAAAAATCTATTTTAAGCTTACAAACAAATAAATTTTAGTTTTTAATATAGTACAGAAAAAAGTATTCTAAATTTACGAATGCATGTAC